GAAAACTTAAAAAATCGTAAAACTGAAACATTGAAAAATCGAAATATCGAAGAACTGAAAATTGAAAAATGAAACATCAGAAAATTCAAAAATCTAAAATTTAAAAACCGAATAACGAAAAATTGAGAAATCGAAACTCCCAAATTTAAAAAATCGGATAACTGAAAAATCGAAATATCGAAAAACTGGAAAATCGTAAAACCGAGAAATCGAAAAATCAAAAGATCAAAAAATCGTGGAGTCGAAAAGTCGAACAATTGAGAAACCAAAATAGGCCAAAATCGAAAAATCGAAAAGTTAAAAATTGAATAATTTATAAATTGAGAAACTGACAATAAAAATATCGAAAAATCCAAATCTCGATAAATCGAGAAATCAAAAAACTTAAAAATTCGAAAAATTGAAAAACTGAGAGATTGGAAGATCAAAAGAACGAGAAATCGAAAAATGATGAAGTCGAAAAATCGAAAAATAGAGAAGTCGACACACAAAAAGTTAAAAATTGAAAAATTGGAAAAGCGGAAAAGTCAAAAAACGAAAAATGTAAAACTGGAAAAATTGAAAAACCGAAATAGACCAAAATAAAAAATTGAAAAACTGATAAATCGAAAACCTCAACAATCAAATCTCGATAAATCCGAAAACTGAAATATCCAAAAATTGAGAACCTAAAATGTCGAAAAATTGAGCAATCGAAAAATCCAAAAAGTGAAGTCGAAAAATCGAAACCTTAAATTAACTAAAAAATGAAAAATCGAAAAATTAAAGAACAGGAAATTCGAAACCCTCGAAAGTCAAGAAATGGGAAAATCAAAACAGAAAATTTAAAACCGGGAAGTCGAAAAATCGATAGATTAGGAAATCAAAAAATTGGAAAACATGAAAAACGGAAATATCGAAGAACTGAAATGAAAAATCGAGAAATCGAAAAATCTAACATTTTAAATATTGAAAAATTAAAATATCAAAAAACTGAAAAATCTAAAATTTAAAAATCGAAAAATTGAAAAAACGACAATGGAAAAACAGAAAATCTAAAACCGGGAAGTCGAAAAATCGAGACATTTGAAAAATTGAAATATGGAAGAGCTGAAATGAAAAATTGAGAAATCGAAAAGTCTAAAATTTTAAATATTGAAAAATTAAAATACCAAAAAATTGAAAAATCTAAAATTTAAAAATCGAAAAAGAAAAAAGTCGACACATCGAAAAGTACAGAAGTCAAAAATGGTCGAAGAACAGAAATATTGAAAAATCCCAAAACTGAAATATCTAAAAACTGAAAAATCGAAAAATCAAAAAAAGAGAAGTCCAAAAATAGAAACCTTAAAAAATCGAAAAATTGAAAAATCAAAAACCTGAAAAATCAAAAAATTAAAGAATTGAAGAACAGGAAAATCGAAACACTCGAAGGTCAAGAAATGGGAAAATCAAAACATCGATTAATTGTAAAATCGAAAAATTGACAGTTTATAAATGCCAAATTTGAAAAATTGAAAAATCGAAAATTTGAAAAAGCGACAATTGAAAACAGAAAATTTAAAACCGGGAAGTCGAAAAATCAAAAGATTAAGAAATCGAAACATTTGAAAAATTCGAAAACTTAGAAAATTGAAACATCGAAGAACTGAAATGAAAAATTGAGAAATTGAAAAATCTAAAATTTTAAAAATTAAAAAATCTAAAACTTAAATTTCGAAAAATTGAAAAATCGAAAAAGTAAAAAAATCGAGACATTGAAAAATCCAGAAATCTGTAGGAACAACCGTTCCCACAAAATCAGGTGTTCTACCTGAGGGCATTCGTAATATTTGTATAAATGTAAATATTTCCTATCCTTCGTTTACCTGCCCTACACTTCTTCATACTTTCTCTTTTCGCTTCTGGAACTTTCTAAACCCTTCTTTACCTACTTCCACCTCTTCAAATCCGAGCTTACCTGTGTACCATTTTAAACACCCTTCCTTCTTCTTCCTCGCACTCTCGAACAGTAAAGAACAAAATATAAACTGAAAACCGTACCGTCGCTTTTAAATCACCAACAATACCCACAAATCAAAAATCGAAAAGTCGAAGAATCGAAATATTGAAAAATCCCAAAACTGAAATATCGAAAAACTGAAAAATGAAAAAAAAATGGAAAACCTGAAAAATCCGAAAACTGAAATATCCAAAAACTGAGAACCTAAAAAATCGAAAAATGGAGCAATCGAAAAATCCAAAAAGTGAAGTCGAAAAATCGAAACCTTAAAAAAACAAAAAAATGAAAAATCGAAAAATTAAAGAATTGAAGAACAGGAATATCGAAACCCTCGAAAGTCAAGAAATGGGAAAATCAAAACAACGATTAATAGTAAAATCGAAAAATGGACAGTTTGTAAATGCCAAATTTGAAAAATTGAAAAATCGAAAATTTGAAAAAACGACAATTGAAAAACAGAAAATTTAAAACCGAAAAATCGATAGATTAAGAAATCAAAACACTTGAAAAATTCGAAAACATGAAAAACGGAAATATCGAAGAACTGAAATGAAAAATCAAGAAATCGAAAAATCTAAAATTTAAAAATCGAAAAATTGAAAAAACGACAATGGAAAAACAGAAAATCTAAAACCGAGAAGTCGAAAAATCGAAGCATTTGAAAAATTGAAATATGGAAGAGCTGAAATGAAAAATCGAGAAATCGAAAAATCTAAAATTTTAAATATTGAAAAATTAAAATACCAAAAAATTGAGAAATCTAAAATTTAAAAATCGAAAAAGTAAAAAGTCGACACATCGAAAAGTACAGAAGTCAAAAATGGTCGAAGAACAGAAATATTGAAAAATCCCAAAATTGAAATATCTAAAAACTGAAAATTCGAAAAATCAAAAAAGTGAAGTCGAAAAATAGAAAGCTCAAAAAATCGAAAAATTGATAAATCAAAAACCTGAAAAATCAAAAAATTAAAGAATTAAGAATAGGAAAATCGAAACACTCGAAGGTCAAGAAATGGGAAAATCAAAACATCGATTAATTGAAAAATCGAAAAAATGAGAGTTTATGAAAGTCAAATTTGAAAAATTGAAAAATCGAAAATTTGAAAAAACGACAATTGAAAAACAGAAAATCTAAAACCGGGAAGTTGAAAAATCAAAAGATTAAGAAATCGAAACATTTGAAAAATTCGAAAACTTGAAAAATTCAAATATTGAAGAACTGAACTGAAAAATCGAGAAATCTAAAATTTTAAAAATTAAAAAATCTAAAATTTAAAAATCAAAAAATTGAAAAATCGAAAAAGTAAAATAATCGACACATCGAAAAATCCAGGAGTCAAAAATCGAAAAGTTGAAGAATCGAAATATTGAAAAAAAACAAAACTGAGATATCAAAAAACTGAAAAATGAAAGAAAAACTGAGAATCTAACAACCTGAAAAATCCGAAAACTGAAATATCCAAAAACTGAAAACCTAAAAAGTCGAAAAATTGTACAATCGAAAATCCAAAAAGTGAAGTCGAAAAATCGAAACCTTAAAATAACTAAAAAATGAAAAATCGAAAAATTAAAGAACAGGAATTTCGAAACCCTCGAATGTCAAGAAATGGGAAAATCAAAACAGAAAATTTAAAACTGGGAAGTCGAAAAATTGATAGATTAGGAAATCAAAACATTTGAAAAATTGGAAAACATGAAAAACGGAAATATCGAAGAACTGAAATGAAAAATCGGGAAATCGAAAAATCGAAACCTTTGAAAAAAGTGAAATATCGAAGAACTGAAATGAAAAATCGAGAAATCGAAAAATCTAAAATTTTAAATATTGAAAAATTAAAATACCAAAAAACTTAAATATCGAAAAATTGAAAAATCGCAAAAGTAAAATAATCGACACATCGAAAAATCCAGAAGTCAAAAATGGAAAAGTCGAAGAACAAAAATATTGAAAAATCCCAAAACTGAAATATCGAAAAACTGAAAAATGAAAGAAAAACTGAAAAATCCCAAAACTGAAATATCCAAAAACTGAGAACCTAAAGAATCGAAAAATCCAAAAAGTGAAGTCGAAATATCGAAACCTCAAAAAAATCGAAAAATTGAAAAATCAAAAACCTGCAAAATCAAAAAATTAACAGGAAAATCGAAACACTCGAAGGTTAGGAAACGGGAAAATCAAAACATCGATTAATTGAAAAATCGAAAAATTGAGAGTTTATAAAAGTCAAATTTGAAAAATTAAAAAATCCAAAACTTGACAAAATCACAATTGAAAAACAGAAAATCTAAAACCGGGAACTCAAAAACCTGTTAAATCGTAAGATCGAAAAATTGAATAATAAGTAAACTGAAAAATCCCAAAACTGAAACGTCCAAAAACTGAGAAACTAAAAAATTGAAAAACTGAGAAATCGAAAAACCAAAAAACCTGAAAAATCAATCAATTGAAAAATCTACAGATAAAAAGTTTATAAAAGTCAAAAATTGAAAAATCGAAATATTTAAAAATCGTAAAATTGAAGAGAAAAACTGAAAACCGAGAAACTGAGAAATTGTAAAATCCAAAAATTGAATAATAAATAGGAGTAAACTGAAAAGTCCCCAAACTAAAATTTCGAAAAACTGAGAATTCGAAATCAAATAACGGATCATGGTTTATAAATCAAATCATTTCGGAACGCTTAGAGTCGACATTGGCCTGAGTGCGCTCTGGTCTGCAGATCAAAAAAGTTCTCAGACGACGAACTGTAATTCGTGTGACCTGAATTAAAGTGAAGGAAACAGGAAGCAGTTTGTAATATTCTGGTAAATCTAGTGTCAATTTGTCGAAAGTAAAACGCGTCGTTAAAAATATTATGACATTTTTTTCTATTATAGTTAATTTTATTCTTAGTTAGAAACAAACACTGTTGCCAACATAAGTCGAGGAGTCCTCAACCGTCATTTAATTTAAACTATGACGCTTCTCTATGTTCTCTGACATAACCAAAATCGTTCACCGTAACCATAACCTCACAAATTCTGACATTACCCCATTAACCAATAAAACAGTCGTCGAAGCTTGACAATCACGCTTGTGCAAAAACATGAAAATTAGTTAATTAAAACCACGTAAATAAAAACCACGGAGACATGGAAGACGACAATTCCATGTCGGAACGAATTTTACGTTCTCTCGAAACCATTGTCAACAATGACCCCAATCTGTAAGTGCCCCGCACCTAACCCAATTTTTCGCCATTTTATCGTTTCAGCAAAGAATTCGTGGTGGTCCCGGCCGAAGCCAACACAAAAAATAAATCTCCCGTGTTGTACGAAGAACACAACATTGGTTTAGAGTCGTGGTGCGTCAAACACATCTACCGCTACGCCTATTTGGAATTATTTGAAGCACGAAAACTACTATTGAAAAAGAAGCTACCGTTTAATAAAGAACGCAGTTTAAACCACTTGTTGATAGGGGTTTTGCTAATAAATCCGGACGTTTCGACTTTCTGGAACGTGAAGCGGGAACTGGTAGAGAGGGACGTGTTAAGCGTGAATAACGAATTGTTATTTACGAAATTGGTTTTATCGTCGAAAAGTAAATCGAATGAAGCGTTCGCGTACAGACGGTGGCTGTTGAATCGGGCGTTGGCGAAACTGCAAAAAAACGACATGCGAGCGCTCCAAAGTTTGTTCGACGGTGAAATGTCTGTGTGTGAAATGGCGGCGGCGAAGAATGCCAATAATTACCACGCATGGACCCACCGGATTTGGAGTTTTGAAACGATCGGACACAGGATGGCCAATTTTAGTGTGTTAATGTTGCGCGAGTTAGAGTTTAGCCAGCAGTGGTTGTCACAACACGTTTCAGAACACACAGGCTACCACTACAGGCAGTACTTGCTGAACGCGGTTAGGAACAGTAAAAAAATCACGTGCGTGTTTGAATACTATTACAGTAAGGTTGTTGAAAGTTTGGGTTTGGTTAACGAGAATGACCCCAAGGACATTCTCACGTTACTACTAGGCAAAGAAAAATCGTGTAAGCCGTTGGAAGAAACGAATAACTTGATAAATTCGTTTTCTTTATTGTTGTTTGATTTACACAATACTGTAGATATGTTAAACTCGATTTTTCCAAATCATGAAGCGCTTTGGTACCATCGGAGATATTTGCTGCACCACTTGATTAAAACTGCGTACGAATATCACGGTTTGAGTTTCAAAATGAACGAAAAACTAGACGACGTGGCTCTACACGGCACAAATATCGTCAATATGGAAAACTCGGGGTTCAGCGACGGTGAAAAACAACCCAAACTTTTTAAAACCCAACCCAACAGGGTTGAATCGTCATTGTTCTATCAAAGTCTAGTGAAAACCGAATCTGAGTTTATCAAGAAAAACTTAACCGGGGCGCTTCACTTAGCCCGAAGATACGAAAAATGGTTGCAGTTTGTCTTTTGTATGAAAGATGTGTGATTGTGTATTTTACAAATATTTCTATTCCACTTTGTACATTATTTTTAACTGGCACACTGATTTCGTGGAGACTGTGCCTCCTGTGCCAAACTCACTGTAGATTGAACAACTTCATGCTGTCCAATAAACTCGTACCAGTGACTATGTATTTAAAAGACCGGCAACCCCGTATCCTTATGCGTACCAGTGAGTTAATATTGGCGGTCAGATGGCGCCCCAAAATGCGACAAAAGCCCTCTAACCTTCAATGGTTGTTACTAATACCATTTTACGGGTTGTTGTCTGAGCTTGTACAACACAACTACTGTAAGTGAATCGCTCTTGCAGCCGTTTTAGTTTGAAATTTAACAAGTCGGACGGCGCGGAAAATTACTGACACTTTGCGACTCGAATCAAATAAGGGTGTGGGGACCAAAAATCTGCGCAAGTTTCAAACTAGCATAACTTTATTATTGAATGACGAATTAAAAATGCAACTGTTAACATTTATAAAACAACTTTATAGAGTACGATTTGCAACATATCTACTTGCTTCACACATTTTTGTTTTAACACGGTGCGGCGCATTAAATTTGTGAAAGCCAATATTTTTTTCTGCCAAATTTTCAGCAATACACACTGCTTAATTCTATATGTGTAAAGGGTTCGTACCCTACATTTTTCACACAAATTCCACTTTAGATTTCTTCAAAAGCGTTCAATTGGTCGCAGTTGAGGGACGTTCGGAACATTTATGTCCTTAGGAATAAACTGAATATTTATATAAGTCATTTATGCATCAATAAATAACGTTGGCAGTGTAATGATTCAGAATTTTTTTTTTATTTTCGCTTTTGTTCCAATTTTTGTTTTTCTGAACATTTGGGAATTGATTTTCGCTTTGCAAATATGATTTTATTCTCCCTTAGTAACGTACTTTTTGCCGATTTTAAATTTCTGTCCAAAATTTCTAAATGGCATTCCAAGTTTACCGTGGTTAGTGAGTATGGATGTTAAAAATAGGACACACTATTTACACTATTATATTACTAAATTACTAGTTATCATGTTCTAATACATGGTTACTGCCGTGGTTCTGACTGATTAAGGCTTCTCTCCTCTTCTGGGCTATTTTTGTTGCTGGAATTCCACTTCTTGTCTGTCTTTCTATCGAATTACCATTCTCTAGAGTTATAATTTGTCTTTTTTGATATCCCCATTTGGAAAAAGTGATTAAATGTGAAGGGCTTTTTTAAATTCATACGGTCTGTATAAAATTCGGCAAACACATTTCGGCAATTATTTTCATTCGAGTGTTCCATTTTCGCACAAAATATTAAACTTCTAGTGGAATTAGCGATAACAATTTTTGATAAGTCGTCGCCTGGGAACATGTTTGATCTACAGACCAGAGCGCGCTCATGCCAATGTCGATTCTAAGCGTTCAGAATTGAAAAAAGAAATTGAAAAGTTCCCAAAACTGATAATGTTGAAAATGTTGAGAAATCGGAAAATCTATAAATCGAAAAATTTTAAAAATCGAAAAACCAAGATGGCAAAATTAAAACTTGAAAAATTCAAATATCGAAAAATTGTAAAATCGAGAAGTCTAAATATAAAGAAATAAAAAAAATTAAAATTTAAAAACAGAGAAATTGAATAATTCGAAACATCGAAAAATTGGAAAATTGAAAAATTAAAAAAAAGTGGAAAATCGAAAAATTAAAATGTAGGAACAAGAGTTCCCACAAAATCAGGTGTTCTACCTGAGCGCATTCATAATCTTTGTACAAATGTAAATGCGTCCTATCTTTCGTCTACCTGCCCTACGCTCCTACATACTTTTTCTTTCCGTTTCTAGAATTTTCTAAACTCTTTCTTTACCTACTACCACCTATTTGAAACCGAGCCTACCTGTCGACCATTCAAACACCCTTCGATCTTCTTCTCCCTGGCACTCTCAAACAGTAAAAGGAACTAAATAAAATCTGAAAACCGTAACCGTCGCTTTTTCTAAAAATCACCAACGATACCCACAAAAAAAATGGAAAATCGAAACATTAAAAAAAAACAGAAAATCGAAAAAAAAAAAAATGGAAAATCGAGAAATAAAAAAAATGGAAAATCAGAAATTTAAAAATTCCAAAAATTGAAAAATTGAGATAGAAGAACTGAAAAGTCGAGAAATCGAAAAACCTAATATTTTAAAAACTGAAAACTAAAAGTTTATAAAACGAAAAATTGAAAATTCAAACAGTAAAAAGTCGAAAAACTGAAAAATCACAAAATTGAACAAGATATTCAAAAATTAGGAAGTTAAAGAATTGAAAAATTGAGAAATCAAAAATTCAAAAAGCAAAGTCGAAAAAAGTAGATTAATTGAGGAATCGGAAATCTGAAAATTCTGAAACGTCAAAATTTGAAAAATTAAAAAATATTGAAGAACTGAAAAATCGAAAAGCCTAAAATTTAAAACATTGAAAAATTAAAATATCGTAAAATTGAAAAATGGAGAAATCTAAAAATCAAAAAATAAAAAAAAATAAAAATTGAAAAATCTAAAATATAAAAATCAACACATCGAGAAATCAAAACTCGAAAACTAAAAAAAATTGGAAAACTGAAAAATCGAATAATATAAAAATCTAAACACAGAAAAACCGAAAAATCGAAAAGTAAAAATCAAAAACCGACAAATCGAAACATCGAAAAATTCAAAAACTGAGACATCGAGAAATCGAAAAATCAAAAGATGGAGAAATCGAGGAGTCGAAAAGTCGACAAGTCGAAAAATCGAAAAATTGAGAAACCGAAATAGGCCAAAATCGACAAATCGAAAAGTTAAAAATGGAAAAATTGATAATTCGGGATCTCAAAAATTGAAAAATCGAAAATTTAAAAATTGGGAAAATAAAAAAATTAAAATATAGAACTGAGAACTCGAGAAATCGAAAAATCTAGAATTTTAAAAATGAAAAATTACAATATCGAGAAGTTGAAAAATTGAGAAATCGAAATATAAAACGGTCGAAAAACTGAAAAATAATAAAAATATCATAATAACTATATCTACTATAATGGCCGTTCATTTTTTTATTTAAATAAAGGATGAATTTAAACGCATACACCAGGCATCCTCCAAAAATTGGGATTTACTGGCATGTTGTCAACATGTGCTTATCATAACAATAATAATTAAAGAAAAGCTGAAATTTGGTTAAATTTTGACAAAAACCTTTCACCAGTCCACCGTTCATTTGGGGATGGGCTATTTTGCTTTAACGTAATCGCACTGGCCACAAGTCTGATGAGTTGGTGTTCGTCCAGACTACTGTTAACGTAGTTCACAAGAAAAAAGGAGGGAGAGCCACTATCCACTATTACGTTTATGGATGAAGTGAAGTGAGGGGTAAGACGGAGCATTAGCCCCGCACTTGTCCATAAGGTTGCCTCTCTTTTAACTCTATACTCACTGCTTGTACCAACAGTTAATGAATTCATTACAAAATCCTACTGGCGATGTTTTTTTTGTAGCAAGCCAAACTGCACAAAGGCACATTTGTCTGCGAGCAAACGTACTTCTTTAAGCTGCCGCACCCCATGACACACGGCACCGGCTTCGGCGCCTCCTTCGGCCCCACACCACCCAAAGGCCACTCCATCCCCGCCGGGAACGACATTACCACCCCGCTGGCATTCTGTCTGTAAAAAATCGTAGGCACGTTGGTTTTCGCAACCTTAATCTTCGACGACTTGGCAGCCTTCGACTCCTGCTTCTTCAACAACCTCTCCATAGTTTTTTTCTTATCTTTCTCGCGCTTCTCGTCGGCTAGTTGTTTCCTCTTTTGCGACTTAATCGCCGCTTTCTGGATGGCCTCAGCAGTCATTACTTTCTCCTACGACAACAACAATAATAAAACTACAAAATGACGGGTTTATATTTTAAAAAAAACCTTGTATCCAGTGGGTAAAGACATGAGCGTGGGGGTCGTGACCGACGGATTTCCGTCCACGCCTCGGTCGTACATGGCTCTTTGTCTCGCAGTCATCAGCGCCGGGTCTTTGGGTTTGATTTTTTTCAGTTCGTCGTCGACGTCTTCGAGTTTGCCGGACTCGATGGCCGTGAGCCAGCGTTCTTCGTCGCTGGAGGCGCTGTCGCGTTTCTTGCGTTTTTTGGTGGAGGTCGAGGGGATCGACGGGGGTCTGTTTATAGGCGATTTGTTCTTGTTGTTGGACTCGTCGATTATGAGGAGATCGTTGGAGGTGTCGTCTTCCGGCAGAGACGGTCGTACTTTTTTTGACTTGTTTTTCTTCGACTTTTTCGAGTCTTGGAGCTCTGGAAGGAAAAATTAGACACGAAGTGCGGAATTTTTGCTACTGACCCATTTTTAGATGAAAATAGAATGAATGGAGCGACTCTCGTCAATTCGATTATTTAATAAATCGGTTTCGAATTGTGAGGTTAGTAAATATGCCGTGGCTAAAGTTACACCATAGATTAATATAGGTGCGACATACAGGCTGATTTTGCAAAACCACCCTTTTTGTATGAATTTTTAAATGTTCTTAGCATATTATATCTAATACTACTATTAGATATATGGTTTTTAGTGACAATTTTTGTGGTTGGTTTCGATACACTATAAGTTTAACTTTATTCTAAATAGTCTGTTCATTCCAGTTACGACTCTTAATATTGTTCAGTCTTATCGTTGCAAGTACTAGTACCACCCACCCACCCTCTATTTTCTTAGAGGTATGTCATCTGCAAAAATCAGTTTTATCGTTGCAAGTATACTAGCCCCGCCCACCCCCCTCTTCTTATTTTAGCGACTAATTTTCTTTCTGTATAAGATCCACGTTTCATTCAGAGCAGTTAAAATTAATTACAAAAATGGAGGTGTGTGGGTGGGTGGGGTTAGTTATATGTTCTTCTGTAGAGTGGAAGTGGGAGCTAATAAAAATTGAGCTGTAATGGTGACTTTTTTGTTGTATTATTTAGTATCAGATTTATTTCTTATTTCAGAAGAAAAAACTGAGAGAACGGGTGGGTGGGCGGGGCTAAGTTTAATTTTTTGCCAAAAGAGTCTTTTATGGGCAAGCAATAGCCCCGCCCATTTCATTCCAGTTACTGCTCTTAATATTGTTCAGTCTTATCGTTGCAAGTACTAGCCCCACCCATGGTAGAAGAAGACATGGTATAGGCATACGCATCTGGTGTGACGTCAAGTGGGGTGAAATTAGCGCGAAATTTAAAATACAATTCGTTATCCAACAACTAATTGACGTATTGGACACAGCAATGACAACTCAAGCTGAAATTCCCTAGACTTCCCTAGCGAAGCTCACAAGAGTCATAAGGTCGTTGATGCCACCTAACGTCACAAATGGATGCGCAGACCATTTTTAAATTGGTACATCGGATGCCTATACCATGTCTCCTTCTACCATGAGCCCCACCCACCCACCCTCTATTTTCGTAGAGGTATGTCATCTGCAAAAATCAGTCTTATCGTTGCGAGTACTAGCCCCGCCCACCCCCCCTCTTCTCATTTTAGCGACTAATTTTCTTTCTGTATAAGATCCACGTTTCATTCAGAGCAGTTAAAATTAATCACCGAAATGGAGGCGGGTGGGTGGGCGGGGTTAGTTATATGTTCTTCTGTAGAGTGGGAGTGGTAACTAATAGAAATTGGGCTGTAATGGTGACTTTTTTGTTGTGTTATTTGTTATAAGATTTATTTCTTATTTCAGAAGAAAAAACTGAGAGAACGGGTGGGTGGGCGGGGCTAAGTTTAAGTTTTTCCTAGTGAGTCTTTTATAGACAAGCAATAGGCCCACCCACCCGCCCCCTCTTCTTTCTGGTGACCACTCTTAATACTGTTATTTATTGACAAAATTATTGTCTTAATACAATCTTTGGAAAATCTGTTAAACCGTTGGTGAGAAAACAGATAAATTGTTATTTTGTATAATTGTACCAATCTATCAAGGTTAATTTTACTAAATATCCCTAAAAATCCCTAAGAATCAAATAGAGAATGGACATCACTTGTGTCTTGTGTCATTGGTTGATTGCTTTTTTAAGGTTATGTGCATCGAAATTGTTAAACTTTTGTAAAGAAATTTGTTAATAATTTGATTAACATCTGTCCATAGAAGTGACAAAAGTAGAGTGCGTACTATGTTTTTGACTTTAAAGTTTAAATAGACACAAATAACGTAATTATGATTTTTTAATTATCTTGCGGGAAAATTCATTTCGCATTTATAATTTTGTTTAATTTTAGCTGCAAATTGCTGCTAATTTTCCAAAAATCAGTTGTGACGTAAAAATGTTAAGTTAGAACTCTCGCGTTTTGTATGTTAGTAACAGTGAGAAAAAAAATGAAGAATTGAAATAATCGAAAAATCGAAACCTTAAAAAATCGTAAAACTGAAACACTGAAAAATCGAAATATCGAAGAACTGAAAATCGAAAAAATGTAAAATTCAAAAATCTAAAATTTAAAAACCGAAGAACGGAAAATCCAGAAATAGAAACTCCCAAATTTAAAAAATCGGATAACTGAAAAATCAAAACATTGAAAAACTGGAAAATCGAAAAACCGAGAAATCGAAAAATCAAAAGATCAAGAAATCGTGGAGTCGAAAAGTCGAACAATTGAGAAACCGAAATAGGCCAAAATCGAAAAGTTAAAAATTGAACAATTTATAAATTGAAAAATTGACAATCAAAATATCGAAAAATCAAAATCTCGATTAATTGAGAAATCAAAAAACTTAAAAATTCGAAAAATTGAAAAATTGAGAGATTGAAAGATCAAAAGAACGAGAAATCGAAAAGTGATGAAGTCGAAAAATCGAAAAATAGAGAAATCGATAAAAAAAAGTTAAAAGTTGAAAAATTGGAAAAGCGGAAAAATCAAAAAAACGAAAAAATGGAAAACTGGAAAAACTGAAAAACCGAAATAGGCCAGAATAAAAAATTGAAAAACTGATAAATCGAAAACCTGAACAATCAAATTTCGATAAATCGGAAATGAAAAATTAACAAATCGAAAAATTGAAAAACAGAACATCTAAAACCAGGAAGTCGAAAAATCGAAAGATTAATAAATATTAAATTAATTCAAATATCAAAAGATTGAAAAATCTAAAATTTAAAAATCCAAGAATTGAAAAATCGAAAAAGTAAAAAGGTAGACACATCGAAAAATCCAGAAATCAAAAATAGAAGAGCCAAAGAATTGAAATATTGAAAAATCCTAAAACTGAAAAATCGAAAAATCAAAAAAGTGAAGTCGCAAAATAGAAACCTTAGAAAATCGAAAAATTGAAAAATCAAAAACCTGAAAAATCAAAAAATTAAAGAATTGAAGAACAGGAAAATCGAAACACTCGAAGGTCAAGAAATGGGAAAATCAAAACATCGATTAATTGAAAAATTTAAAAATTGAGAGTCTATGAAAGTCAAATTTGAAAAATTAAAAATTCGAAAATTTGACAAAATGACAATTGAAAAACAGAAAATCTAAAACCGGAAAGTCGAAAAATTAAAAGATTAAGAAATCGAAATATTTGGAAAATGCGAAAACTTGAAAAATTGAAATATCGAAAAACTGAAATGAAAAATCCAGGAGTCAAAAATCTAATCGATTTTTTGATTTTCCCATTTCTCAATTTTTTGACTTTTCAGTGCTTCGATTTTTCAGTTTTTCAATTCAAGTTTTCGAATTTTCAGGTTTTCGTTTTTCCATTTTCGATTTTTCAAATTTTCTATTATTATTATTATTGGACTTCCATTTTTAGACTTTTCGATTTCTCAATTTTTCGGTGTTTTAGTTTCGATACTTTTTCAATATTTCGATTCTTCAGTTTTTCAATTTTTTGACTTTTCGATTTCTCAGTTTTTTATTTTTTCGTTTTTTTAGTTTTTGAATTTTAAAATTTTAGATTTTTCAATTTTTTGTTTTGATTTGTCGATTTTTCAATTTTCAATTTTTCCAAATTTTAATTTTCCATTATGAAGACTACATTTTTCGGTTTCTCTATTTTTCGATTTTTCAGTTCTTTGATTTTTCTGTTTTTCAATTTTTCGAACATTAAATTTTAGATTTTGTTTCAATTTCTTGATCTTTCGATATTTCAACTTCTTGGTTCTAGATTTTTCAATTTTTCGATTTTTAAAATAAATTTTTCGGTGTTTCAATGTTTTACTTGATCAGTTTCTTGATTTTTCGATTCTTCAATTTTTCTATTTTTTCAGTTTTGACCTATTTCGATTTCTAAAATTTTCGATTTTTCTAGTTTTCGGCTATTCGGTTATTCGATTTTCCATTTTTTTGATGTTACAATTTTTCAAATTCCCGATTTTTCATTTTTTCGATTGTTTCAATTTCGAATTTTCGATTTCTCGGTTTTCTTTTTTTCAATTTTACAAATTTTAAATTTTTGAAATTTCCATTTTTCGATTTTTTGAATCATCAATTCCTCGATTTTTCAATTTTTCCATTATTCAATATTTCGCTACTTTAATTTTTCAATTTTTTAATTTTAGACATTTCGATTTATCGATTTTTCAGTTTTTTGATGTTTCAATTTTTCGTTTTTACAATTTTTTAATGTTTTGATTTTTTGACACCCCGGTTTTACTACTTTTAAAATTTTTCAAATTTTTGGATTTTTAGATTTCTCAATTTTTCAATACATATTTTAATTTTGACAACTTTTGCATTTCAGGATTTTTCAATTTTTCAGTTTATAACGTTTCTAAATGTTCTATTTTACGATTTCCTAATTTCTCAATTAATCGATTATTTTATTATCCCATTTCTCAATTTTTTTACTTTTTAGTGGTTCGATTTTTCAGTTTTTCAATTAAATGTTTTGAATTTTCGTGTTATCGTTTTTCCATTTTTTAATTTTTCAAATTTTCTATTATTCGACTTCCAGTTTTCGACTTTTCGATTTCTCAATTTGTCGATAAAATTTAAAAATCGAAAAATTGAAAAATCGAAAAAGTAAAAAAATCGACACATCGAAAAATCCAGGAGTCAAAAATCGAAAACTCGAAGAATCTAAATATTGAAAAATCCGGAAACTGAGATATCCAAAAATTGAAAAATGAAAGAAAAACTGAAAAATGGAAAACCTGAAAAATCCAAAAACTGAGAACCTAAAATGTCGAAAAATTGAGCAATCGAAAAATCCAAAAAGTGAAGTCGAAAAATCAAAACCTTAAAAAAACTAAAAAATGAAAAATCGAAAAATTAAAGAATTGAAGAACAGGAATATCGAAATCCTCGAAAGTCAAGAAATGGGAAAATCAAAACATCGATTAATTGAAAAATCGAAAAATTGACAGTTTATAAATGTCAAATTTGAAAAATTGAAAAATCGAAAATTTGAAAAAACGACAATTGAAAAATAGAAAATCTAAAACTGAGAAGTCGAAAAATCGATTGATTAAGAAATAAAAACATTTAAAAAATTCGAAAACTTGACAAACTGAAATATCGAAAAATTGAAATGAAAAATCGAGAAATCGAAAAATCTAAAATTTTAAATATTAAAAAATTAAAATATCAAAAAACTGAAAAATCTGAAATTTAAAAATCGAAAAATTGAAAAAACGACAATTGAAAAACAGAAAATCTAAAACCGGGAAGTCGAAAAATCGAAAGATTAAGAAATCGAAACATTTTGAAAAATTGAAATATGGAAGAGCTGAAATGAAAAATCGAGAAATCTAAAAATCTTAAATATTGAAAAATTAAAATACCAAAAAATTGAGAAATCTAAAATTTAAAAATCGAAAAACTAAAAAGTCGACACATCGAAAAATCCAGAAGTCAAAAATGGAAAAGTCGAAGAACAGAAATATTGAAAAATCCCAAAACTGAAATATCGAAAAACTGAAAAATCGCAAAACTGAAATATCCAAAAACTGACAACCTAAAGAAGCAAAAAATTGAGAAATCGAAAAATCAATAAAGTGAAGCCGAAATATCGAAACCTTAAAAAAATCGAAAAATTGAAAAATCAAACACCTGCAAAATCGTAAGATCGAAAAATTGAATAATAAGTAAATTGAAATGTCCAAAAACTGAGAAATTAAAAAATTGAAAAATTGAGAAATTGAAAAATCAAAAAAGTGAAGTTGAAACATCGAAACCTGAAAAAATTGAAAAATTGAAAAACCAAAAAATCTGAAAAATCAATTAATTGAAAAATCGACAAATAAAGAGTTTATAGAAGCCAAAAATTGAAAAATCGAGAAATCTAATAATCGAAAAATCGAAACCTTAAAAAATCGTAAAACTGAAACATTGAAAAATCGAAATATCGAAGAACTGAAAATCGAAAAATTAAACATCAGAAAATCGAAAAAATGTAAAATTCAAGAATCTAAAATTTAAAAACCGAATAACGAAAAATCGAGAAATCGAAAAATTAAAAGATCAAGAAATGGTTGGAGTCGAAAAGTCGAACAATTGAGAAAACGAAATAGGTCAAAATCGAAAAATCGAAAAGTTAAAAATTGAACAATTTATAAATTGAGAAATTGACAATTAAAATATTGAAAAATCCAAATCTCTAAATCGAGAAATCAAAAAACTTAAAAATTCAAAAAATTAAAAAATTGAGAGATTGAAAGATCCAAAGAACGAGAAATCGAAAAGTGATGAAGTCGAAAAATTGAAAAATAGAGAAATCGACAAACAAAAAGTTAAAGTTGAAAAATTGAAAATGCGGAAAAATCAAAAAACGAAAAACTGACAAACTGGAAAAACTGATACACCGAAATAGGCCAAAATAAAAAATTGAAAAACTGATAAATCGAAAACCTGAACAATCAAATCTCAATAAATCGGGAATGAAAAATTAACAAATCGAAAAATTGAAAAACAGAACATCTAAAACCAGGAAGTCGAAAAATCGAAAGATTAAGAAATATTGCAAAAATTAAAATATCAAAAGATTGAAAAATCTAAAATTTAAAAATCCAAAAATTGAAAAATCGAAAAAGTAAAAAGGTAGACACATCGAAAAATCCAGAAGTCAAAAATAAAAAGCCGAAGAATTGAAATATTGAAAAATCCTAAAACTGAAATATCTAAAAACTGAAAAATCGAAAAATCAAAAAAGTGAAGTCGAAAAATAGAAACCTTAAAAAATCGAAAAATTGATAAATCAAAAACCTGAAAAGTCAAAAAATTAAAGAACTGAAGAACAGGAAAATCGAAACACTCGAAGGTCGAGAAATGGGAAAATCAAAACATCGATTAATTGAACAATCGAAAAATTGGGAGTTTATGAAAGTCAAATTTGAAAAATTAAAAAATCGAAAATTCGACAAAATGGCAATTGAAACACAGAAAATTTAAAACCGGGAAGTCGAAAAATCAAAAGATTAAGAAATCGAAACATTTGAAAAATTCGAAATCATGAAAAACGGAAATATCATGAAAAATGAAAAATCGAGAAATCCAAAAATCTAAAAAGTGAAGTCGAAATATCGAAACCTCAAAAAAATCGAAAAATTGAAAACTCAAAAACCCGTTAAATCGTAAGATCGAAAAATTGAATAATAAGTAAACTGAAAAATCCCAAAACTGAAATGTCCAAAAACTGAGAAATTAAAAAATTGAAAAACTGAGAAATCGAAAAATCAAAAAAGTGAAGTTGAAAAATCGAAATTTGAAAAAATAGAAAAATTGAAAAACCAAAAAATCTGAAAAATCAATCAATCGAAAAATAAAGAGTTTATAAAAGTCAAAAATTGAAAAATCGAAATATTTAAATATCGTAAAATTGAAGAGAAAAACTGAAAATCGAGAAGTTGAAAAATTGAGAAATTGTAAAATCCAAGAATTGAAAAATAAATAGGAGTACTCAACTGAACTGAAAAATCGAGAAATCGAAAAATCTAAAATTTTAAAAATTAAAAAATCTAAAATTTAAAATCGAAAAATTGTAAAAAATCAAAAAAGTAAAATAATCCACACATCGAAAAATGCAGGAATCAAAAATCGAAAAGTCGAAGAATCGAAATATTGAAAAATCCCAAAACAGAAATGTCGAAAAACTGAAAAACGAAAGAAAAACTAAAAATGGGAACTAAATCGGGAAATCAAAACAATGAAAAATCGAAAAATTTAAAACGACAATTGAAAACAGAAAATCTAAAACCGGGAAGTCGAAAAATTGAAAGATTAAGCAATCGAAAAATTGAAAAATCGAAAAAGTAAAAAAATCGACACATCGAAAACTCCAGAAGCCAAAAATCGAAAAATCGAAGAATCAAAATATTGAAAAATCCCAAAACTGAAATACCGATAAACTGAAAAATGAAAAAAAAAATCGAAAACCTGAAAAATCCGAAAACTGAAATATCCAAAAACTGAGAACCTAAAAAGTCGAAAAATTGAGCAATAGGAAAATCCAAAAAGTGAAGTCGAAATATCGAAATCTAAAAACAATCGAAAAATTGAAAAATCAAAAACCTGCAAAATCGTAAGATCGAAAAATTGAATAATAATTAACTGAAAAATCCCAAAACTGAAATATGGACATTTCAGAGAAATCGAAATAGAAAAATAAAAAAAAATGAAATTGAAAAATCGAAACCTGAAAAAATAGAAAAATTGAAATACCAAAAAACCTGAAAAATCAATCAATCGACAAATAAAGAGTTTATAAAAGTCAAAAATTGACAAATCGAAATATTTAAAAATCGTAAAATTGAAGGAAAAACTGAAAACCGAGAAATTGAAAAATTGAGAAATTGTAAAATCCAAAAATTGAAAAATAAATAGGACTAAACTGAAAAGTCCCCAAACTAAACTTTCGAAAAACTGAGAATTCGAAAGTTGAAACAGCAGAAATTATGGTCGAAACGGTCGAAACCGTTTAGGATGTGTATATTTTGCCTTTTTTCTTAATATACGTAGTCATATTTTCAGAATAAGAAACTTAAAACATGTTTAAAATGGTAAATTCTTGTAAACAAATATGGATCTTGCAGTTAAGCTCCGCCTTCTTGGCTCACGACGAATAATAAAAAAATCATCACAATTGAGATAGGGTGGGTGGGCGGGGCTTATATTTTGCCTTTTTTTTCTTAATATGTGTAGACTTATTTCGACAACAACAAACTTAAAACATGTCTAAAATGGTAAATTTTTGTAGTAAAATCATTATTTCTCTAGGAGAAATTAAAACACAGTATTTTTTTAACAACACGATACTCAAAAACATGTGTTTAATTTCTTGCAAAGAAATAAGAATTTTGCAGTTAAGCTCCACCCTCTTGGCTCACGGCGAACAAAAAATTCTTTACAATCGAGATAGGGTGGGCGGGCGGGCTTACATTTTGCCTCTTTCTTTTAATATGTGTAGACTTCTTTTCACAACACTTAAAATATTTTTAAAACGGAACATTTGTATATCACGGATCATGCCTTATAAATCAAATCGTTTCCGTTAAATATTATGACATTTTATCTAGTTAATTTTATTCCTAGTTAGAAACAAACACTGTTGCCAACATAAGTTAAGGAGGCCCCAACATCTACTGTGCCCCAACCGTCACTTAATTTAAACCACAGACTCATTTAAACTATGACGCTTCTCTATGTTCTCTGGTTACACTACTCTTCATTTGAAAATCGTTTATTTTTAGATGTTAGTTGAGTTTAAGCTGTAAAGTTTCTACTCGGAATGAACAATTTTTTTGTTTTGAAATTAATACAATAAAGAATATTGTTCTTAAATGTAAAAAACGCAAAGTTGAAAAATCGACTTTAGTCACTTCCCGAATTGTCAATTGTCATGTGTCAAACTCGTAGAGTTGTTGCCGAAAAGTGGATCTATTTAATTCAAACTAGTATTTAAATAGGAGTCAGTTATTGCCAAAATGCCCCCAAAGTTTAAATTTGCTGAAGGTAAGCTATTTAACGACATTAAAAAAACGTATTGACTTTTGTCTCCAGGCGAAAAGGTGCTGTGTTTCCACGGCCCCCTAATATACGAAGCCAAATGTTTAAAGTCGACAATAACCAAGGACAAGCAAATAAAATATTTCATTCATTACGCCGGCTGGAACAAAAAGTAAGTAATAAATCCCCGAAAAAACGACTCGAGTATTCCTTAACTGAAAAAACACCCGCTTTCGTGACTTTTCTTTCATGTACAATCAAAGACGTACGTTTCAGCTGGGACGAGTGGGTCCCAGAAAGCCGCGTCCTCAAGTACAACGAAGCGAACGTGGCGAAGCAGAAGGAGGTGCAAAAAGCCCACTCCACACAACCCAGTAAAACAAAAAAAGCCAAGAAGAAAACGGAAGCGACGAAAGAGATTGATTCTCGCTCGAGTACCCCCAACAACGAACTGACAAAAGGCATTAAAAACAAACAAGTGAGCACGCCGTCAAGCGGGCCAGATTCGAGCTCCGATGTTCCTAGGAAGAAAAGAGGGCGCTTGGACCCGTCAGTTGAGTCGGAAGAACAATTTTTGAATAAAGTGGAAATCAAGGTTAAGATTCCTGATGAGTTGAAACCGTGGCTGGTGGACGACTGGGACGTCATTACGAGACAAAGGAAACTGGCGAATTTACCGGCGAAAGTGACGGTTGACCAGATTTTGGACAACTACCTGGCTTACAAGAAATCTATTAAATCAAACAATTCGAGTAAAGAATCCGCGACTATTGAGATTGTGAAGGGGATCAAGGAGTATTTTAACGTCATGTTGGGGACGCAGTTGCTGTACAAGTTCGAGAGGCCGCAGTACGCCGACATTCTTCAAAACCAGGTAGACAAACCGATGTCGGAGATCTACGGCGCTACGCATTTGCTGCGGCTTTTTGTTAAATTGGGGGCTATGTTGGCGTATACGCCTCTAGACGAACGCAGTATTCAACTACTATTACAAAATATTCAAGATTTTCTAAAATACCTTGTTAAGAATAGTGCGCAGTTGTTTAGTTTACAGGACTATGGTAACGCTTCTCCAGAGTACCATCGCAAGGCACTCTGACTTTTGTTCTTTTTATAGTAAAGTGATTTATTAAAAACGCATTACAAAATCAATCAGGGAATAATTAATCAGCTTTTAAGTAGGGCGTCCAACTTTCGTTGGGGGTGAGTGGTGGGGTGATCCACCCGATGGGTATGGCAGAACCGGACTGACTTGGGGTCGTTAGGAACGTGTCCCAACTTTTCCGAATGGCGATGAACGATTCTAGGTCCCGATCGGCGCTGGTCAGAGCCCAATAAGTAGAATTATTAGTAGTGGCGTCATTTTTTGGACCAAAAATCAAGTTTTCCCAGCTGTCTACAACCCGGGTTTGCTTGGCGGTGATGGCGGCTTTCGTGTCTTCAGTGGCGTTGTGTTCGAGCATGACCTTGAGACATTGCTCTTCTTTGCAGTAGTTTTGGTAAGAGTTCTCCCACATGCGGATGAGTTTTTCTGTCAAACAAACAAAAACAAAAAAATAAATAAAAAAAACAAACAAATTAAAAGTGGGGCATACCAGTGACCAATCCGAACGCTTTTCGGTCCTCCAATGAGGGCCTTTCCCCCCTTTGAGTGGCCATGTTGTCCCTGACGCTCCTCAACTTCACCAGAGCGGATATCAATGACAACTGCTTTCTAGCCTCTGATTTCTTCTTAGTAACTTCATATAAAACACAATCCGCGTCCTTCTTCATTTTCTCTTCCATTTTCACGCGCTCCGCCTCCTCCTTTTTGCTCTCCAACCACCCGTCGATACTCTTGTGAATTTTCGCTTGTTGTTCCTTCTTCGTCTGGCGCACTTGTTGTCGTATCTTTTTGCTCTTTCTACGATTACTGCGCTTCTTACACCGCTTCACAATAACCCCTTTCAAGCTCTTCAACACCGTGTTATCCTCAAAAACCACCAACGATTTATCAAACTCATCCTTCAAACTACCAATATCCAGGGTTTTTTGTTTCCATTCATGCGAAGACATCGTGTCGACGTTGTTCCTGAGTTCTTCCTGCGTCTGACTCAGCTTCTCGATAATTTCGAGACAGTTTTTCAGCATCTGCTTAGCGCCGCTGATTGTCACGTCACATCGGAATTTTCGAACCGGAAAGTACGAATTTAGTTGGAATTTACCTTTGTCCATGAGCCACTTGTCGATTATTTGCCGGTCTTGGTCTTGGTCGATTTTGACGGAATTTGAATTGCCTTGCACACTAACTACATTATAAAGTCTAGGATCGAGATAACTATGTCTGGGGCCTTCCCCGAAGTGCTCCATTGCGGTAAAAATAATAACGAAACACTAAGAGTCACTTTTAGGCAATTGAGGTTTGGCTTCCTCTAGCACTTTTAAAGCGGCTTGGTATTCTTCGGATTCTTTTAAATCTTCTTCGGTGCTTAGAATTTTCTTTAGATCGTCGAAAGCGGAAACAAGGCGACGTTGGCAGTCTGGGACCATCATTAGAGACTCCTGCAGGACTTCCTCTTGCTTTTTGATGTCGTACTCATCTTTACCTTCTGCTTTCAGTTTCTCTATCCGGTTTCGCTGCTGGTCGGCTTCTTTTTCGTAAGTCACTTTTTCCTTGGCGATTCTTCTCACAACACCTGTTTTTATTCTCAAGACTTTTATGCGGGGGTCTGCCATAACAACAACTTGAGCGGATTTGTTTGTTTTTTTAGGTTATTAAGCGATGTCTTGATGAATAATCATTTGCGGACTATTCACCGGCTGAAATTAATTAAGTTTCGAACTTGTGGCACTGAGTCACTACCCAACCCAAATTGATTGAAGTGGTGAAAAAAACTGAATCACAAATGTCACCACTGTCAATACTGTCATTTGTGATCAGGCAACCAACTTAACGTCATCAAAATTACCAGAAACGTTTATGAAAAATTGGCTTCACTTCGGGAAATTCGAGTTAAAGGTTTTTATATTTCCACAGCGACCACAATTTTGAAAGTATTACTCCAAATGTGCATTTCTCACTGTCGTGACCGTGCTATCGTGTTAGTAGCATGCCGACCAATCACAACACAGTGTGTTGGCGCTAAATTCAAACTGGCCTAAAGTCGAATATTATTGCTTTCGTTTGTGTGGTCTGAGCATTTTTTTTTTAATTCGCATCCATTTATTATTATTAGCTTTTCGATTTTAGGATTTCTCAGTTTTTCGATTTTTATTTTGGAGTTCTTGCATTTTTTAATTTTTCGTTGTCGATTTTTCAGTTTCTCGATTTTTATTTCGTCAGTTTTTTCAGGTTTCAATGTTATAATTTTTACATTTGACAATTTCTCAATTTTTAAATTTCTCGGTGTTTCAAGTTTCGTTTTTTCTATTTTTGATTTTCAATTTTGCAATTGTTTGATTTTTCTGTTTTTTAAATTTTCGGTTTTTTCATTTTTAGGGTTACAATTTTTTCTTTTCCAATTGTTGACCTCTTAATTATTCGATTTTGAGTTTCTTTGTTTTTGCAATTCTTCGATATCTCAATTTTTAAATTGTTGGGTTTTTCAGTGTTTCTTTTTTCGATTTTTTAAAATTTCACTTTTAATAAATTTGTCCTTTTGTTGAAAAATTGAGAAAATAAAAAATTAAAAATAAAGTACTTCCAAGTATGTAATTCCAAGTTGTTTCGTTTCTTCGATTTTTTATTTTCTCAGTTCGAGATTTTTAAATTTTTGTATTTTTTAATTGTTAATTTTTCGGTTTTTCCGTGTTTCGTTTTCACATTTTTTGATTTCTCGATTTTTTCGTTTTTCGATTTTCATTATGATTTTTATTTTATCAGTAAAATTTTTGTATGTTTCGATTTTTTAATTTATAGATATTTTAATTTTGCGATTTTCCATCTTTTTACAATTTTTTGTTTTTTCGATTTCTCAATTTCTCAATTTTCAATTTTACAAATTTTCGATTTACCTTTTTATTTATTTATTTTTTCAAACTTACAATTTTGTAATTCTTTCATTTTTAAATTTCCCGAATTTTAATTTTTCACTTTTTTTCAAATAATTATTTTAGGATTTTTTTTCAAGGGTACAATTCTTGGTTTTTCAATTACCCGATTTTTTAGTTCTGTATTTTTTGAAATCTTCGATTTCTCGGTTTTTAAATTTTTCGGTTTTTCAGTGTTTCGTCTTTTCGATGTTACAATTTTTCAATTTTACCATGTTTCTTTTTTACAATTTCTTAATTTTTTAGTTTTCCGGTTTTCATTTTAAAATTTTTGAATTTTGAATTTTTTTTTTTGTATTTTTGATTGTTTAATTTATACAAGTTTTTGTCTTTCGTTTTTTCGATTTTTCACTTTCTCGATTTTTAATTAATCAGGGTTTTCAGATTTCAATATTACAACTTTTCTTCGATTTTTCAGTTGTTTTAACCTTTTAATTATTCGATTTTGAGTTTCTTTATTTTTCGATATCTCAATTTTTAAATTGTTCAGTTTTTCAGCGTTTCTTTTTCGATTTTTTAGTTTTTAATTTTTTGATTTTTCAATTTTTCAGTGTACAATTTTCCAATTTTTTGATTTTTTTAAATTTCAGTTTGAATAAATCTGTTAAAAACAAAGTAAGTCCAAGTAGGTAATTTCAAATTATTTTGTTTCTTCGATTTTTTGATTTCTCAATTCGAGATTTTTATATTTTTGGTTTTTTTAATTGATAATTTTTCGATTTTTCCGTGTTTCGATTTCTCCATTTTTTCGTTTTTCGATTTTCATTATGAAATTGTTGCATTTTTCAGTAAAATTTTTGAATTTTCGATTTTTTAATTAGTAGATATTTTAATTTTTCGATTTTCTAATTTGCTTTTTAATTTTTCGATTTTCTATGTGTTGAATTTTACAATTTTCCGGTTTTTCGATTTTTTAATTCCTAGATTTTTAATTTATCACTTTTTCAGGTTTCAATGTTACAAATTTGCGATTTTACAGTTTCAATCGTTTTCTCTGTTGTTCCATTTTTTAATTGTTTTTTCGTTACCTAATTTTCAGTTTGCTAATTTTTAAAATTTTTCGATATTTCAAGTTTGGTTTTTCAATTTTTCGAAATTTCAAGTTTGGTTTTTTCAATTTTTGATTTTCAATTTTTCGTTTCTTCAGTTTTTCCATTTTTAATTTTTTTTTTTTCAAATTTATAATTTTGTAGTTATTTCATTTTTAAATTTGTCGATTTTTAATTTTTCACTTTTTTCAAATTATTATTAGGGTTTTTATTATTCAATTTTTGGCTCTTCCATTTTCCGATTTTTCAGTTTCTTCGATTTCTCAACTTTTAAATTTTTCGGTTTTTCAGTGTTTCGTTTTTTCGATGTTACAATTTTTTTTCCGGTTTTCATTTTAAAATTTTTGAATTTTGAAATTTTTTTTTTGTAATTTGATCGTTTAATTTATAGAAGTTTTTGTTTTTCGTTTTTTCAGTGTTTCACTTTCTCGATTTTTAATTAATCACGGTTTTCAGGTTTCAATATTACAATACATATTTCGATTTTTCAATTATCCCATTGTTCAATTTCTCAATTTTTTCATTTTTCGATTTTTCAATTTTTCTATATTTTAAGTTTCATTTTTCAATTGTTCGATTTCTCAATTTTTTCATTTTTTAATTCAATTCAAAATTTCGGTTTGAATAAATTTGTCCTTTTGTTGAACAATTAAAAAATGACAAATCGGGAAAATGAGGAAATAAAAATCGAGAATTTGAAAAATTTTGTATCGAAAAATTGCAGAATTGTTTCTTTTTGCCGATTTTTCAATTTCTCGATTTTTAATTGTTTTGATTTTTAATTATTATAATTACCCGATTTTTCAGTTTCTGTATTTTTTCAAATCTTGGATTTCTCAGTTTTTTAATTTTTCGGTTTTTCAGTGTTTCGTCTTTTCGATGTTACAATTTTTCAATTTTTCCATGTTTCTTTTTTACAATTTCTTAATTTTTAGTTTTCCGGTTTTCATTTTAAAATTTTTGAATTTTGAAAATATTTTTTTTTTGTATTTTTGATTGTTTGATTAATAGAATTTTTAAAAAATGTCTCGATTTTTAATTATTCAGGATTTTCAGGTTTCAATATTATAAGTTTTCGATTTTTCAATTGTTTTAACCTTTTAATTATTCGATTTTGAGTTTCTTTATTTTTTCAATTCTTCGATATCTCAATTTTTAAATTGTGTTGGGTTTTTCAGTGGTTCTTTCTCCATTTTTCAGTTTTTAATTTTTGATTTTTCCATGTTTCCGTGTTTCGATTTCTCCATTTTTTAGTTTTTCGATTTTCATTATGAAATTGTTGCATTTTTCAGTAAAATTTTTGTATTTTTTAATTTGCAGATATTTTAATTTTTCGATTTTCTAATTTGCTTTTTAATTTTTCTATTTTCCACCTTTTAACAATTTTTCCTTTTTCCGATTTTTCAATTCCTAAATTTTTAATGTATCACTTTTTCAGGTTTCAGTGTTACAAATTTTCGATTTTACAGTTTCTATCTTTTTCTCAGTTGTTCCATTTTTTATTGTTTTTTTCGTTACCCAATTTTCAGTTTGCGAATTTTTTCAATTTTTCGATATTTCAAGTTTAGTTTTCAATTTTTGAATTTCAATTTTCCTTTTTAATTTTTTTTTCAAATTTAAAATTTTGTAATTGTTTCATTTCTAAAATTTGCCGATTTTTAATTTTTCACTTTTTCAAATAATTATTAGGGTTTTTATTATTCAATTTTTGACTTTTCCATTTTCTGATTTCCCAGTTTCTATATTTTTCAATTCTTCGATTTCTCAACTTTAAAATTTTTCGATTTATCAGTGTTTCGTTTTTACAATTTCTTAATTTTTTAGTTTTCCGGTTTTCATTTTAAAATTTTTGAATTTTGAAATATTTTTTTTTGTATTTTTGATTGTTTAATTTATAGAAGTTTTTGTTTTTCGTTTTTTTCAATTTTTCACTTTCTCGATTTTTAATTAATCAGGGTTTTCAGGTTTCAATATTACAATTTTTCGATTTTTCAATTGTTTTTTCAATTATCTCATTGTTCAATTTCTCAATTTTTTCATTTTTCAATTTTTAAATTTTTCGATATTTCAAGGTTACAATTTTTTTACAATTGGTGACCTCTTAATTATTCGATTTTGAGATTCTTTATTTTTGCAGTTCTTCGATTTCTCAATTTTTAAATTGTTGGGTTTTTCAGTGTTTCTTTTTCGATTTTTCAGTTTTTCAGTTTTACAATTTTCCGATTTTTTAAAATTTCACTTTTAATAAGTTTGTCCTTTTGTTGAAAAACGAAAAAATGAAAAATTAAAAATAAAGTACTTCCAATTATGTAATTCCAAGTTGATCGTTTCTTCGATTTTTTTTAGTTTCAATTCGAGATTTTTAAATTTTTGTTTTTTTTTAATTGTTAATTTTTTGATTTTTCTGTATTTCGTTTTTACTTTTTCGGGTTTCAATGTTACAAATTTTCGATTTTACGTTTTTATTTGTTTTCAAATTTAGAATTTTGTAATTGTTTCATTTTTAAATTTCCCGATGTTTACTTTTTCACTTTTTTCAATTAATTATTATTAGGCTTTTATAATTACCCAATTTTTCAGGTTCTGTATTTTTTGAAATTTTCTCGGTTTTTAAATTTTTCGGTTTTTCAGTGTTTCGTCTTTTCGATGTTAAAATTTTTGAATTTTTCCATGTTTCTTTTTTACAATTTTGAAATTCATGTTTTTTTGTATTTTTGATTGTTTAATTTACAGAAGTTTTTGTTTTTCGTTTTTTCAATTTTTCACTTTCTCGATTTGTTTAATTTGTTTAATTTATAGAAGTTTTTGTTTTTCGTTTTTTCAATTTTTCACTTTCTCGATTTTTAATTAATCAGGGTTTTCAGGTTTCAATATTACAAGTTTTCGATTTTTCAATTGTTTTAACCTTTTAATTATTCGATTTTGAGTTTCTTTATTTTTTGAATTCTTCGATATGTCAGTTTTTAAATTATTGGGGTTTTCAGTGTTTCGTTTTTTCGATGTTCCAATTTTTTAATTTTTCTATGTTTCGTTTTTACAATGTCTTAATTTTATACTTTTCCGGTTTTCATTTTAAAATTTTTAGATTTTGAAACTATTTTTTTTTTTGTATCTTTGATTGTTTAATTTATAGAAGTTTTTGTTTTTCTTTTTTCGATTTTTCACTATCTCGATTTTTAATTAATCAGGTTTTCAATTATCTTGTTTAACAATGGTCAATTTCTCAATTTTTTCATTTTTCGATTTTTCAATTTTTAAATTTTTCGATATTTTAAGTTTCCTTTTTCAGTTTTTAAGTCTCATTTTTTCGGTTTTTTCAAGTTTTCTTTATTTTTTTAATTCTTCGATTTCTCAATTTTTTCATTTTTCAATTCAAGTCAAAATTTCGGTTTGAATAAATTTGTCCTTTTGTTGAACAATTAAAAAATGACAAATCAAGAAAATGAAGAAATAAAAATCGAGAATTTGAAAAATTTTATGTCGAAAAATTGCAGAATTGCTTCGTTTTGTCGATTTTTCCATTTCTCGATTTTTAATTAATCAGGGTTTTCAGATTTCTATGTTACAATTTTTCCATTTTCCCATTGTTTTTTCAATTATCTACTTGTTTAATTTATCATTTTTTTCATTTTTCAATTTTTCGATATTTTAAGTTTCATTTTTCAATTTTTGATTCTCAATTTTTCTTTACTTTTTCAATTCTTCGACTTCTCAGTGTTTACATTTTTTGATTTTTCAATTTTATAATTTTTAGACGTTTCAGTGTTACAATTTTCTGATTTTAAAATTTTTCAAAATTTCGGTTTGAATAAATTTGTCCTTTTGTTGAATAATTAAAAAATGAAAAATCGGGAAAATATGGAATTAAAAATTGAAAATTTGAAAAATTTTATATCGAAAATCTGCAAAATTGTTTCTTTTTGTTAATTTTTTCAATTATTTTGTTTTTTGATGTTTCAGCGTTACAAATTTCCAGTTTATCAAAAGTTCAGTTTGAATAAATTTGTCCTTTGTTGAACAATTAAAAAATGAAAAATCGTGAAAATGAAAAATTAAAAATCGAGAATCTGAAAAATCTTACATCGAAAAATTGCAGAATTGCTTCGTTTTGTCGATTTTTCAATTTCTCGATTTTTAATTAATCAGGGTTTTCAGGTTTCTATATTACAATTTTTCCATTTTTCAATTGTTTTTTCAAATTATCCACTTGTTTAATTTCTCATTTTTTTTCATTTTTCGATTTTTCAATTTTAAAATTTTTCGATATTTCAAGTTTCATTTTTCAGTTTTTGATTCTCAATTTTTTTTTATTTTTTCAATTCTTCGACTTCTCAATGTTTACATTTTTTGATTTTTCAATTTTATAATTTTTAGACGTTTCAATGTTATAATTTTCTGATTTTTAAATTTTTTAAAATTTTGATTTGAATAAATTTTTCCATTTGTTGAACAATTAAAAAATGAAAAATCAGGAAAATATGGAATTAAAAATTGAGGATTTAAAAATTTATATCGAAAAACTGCAGAATTGCTTCGTTTTGTCGATTTTTCAGTTTCTCAATTTTTAATTGTTTTCTTTTTTGATGTTTCAATTTTTCGATTTTTCAATTAACCAATTCAATTTCTCAATTTTTCAATTTTTCGGTATTTCAAGTTTCATTTTAAAATCCTTGGATTTTGAAATTAAAAATTTTTGTATTTTTGATTATTTAATTTATAGAAATTTTTGTTTTTCGTTTTTTTAATTCTTCAATTTCTCGATTTTTAATTAATAAGGATTTTCAGGTTTCCATATTACAATTTTTCCATTTTCCAATTGTTTTTTCAATTACCCACTTGTTTAATTTCTCATTTTATTCATTTTTCGATTTTTCAATTTTAAAATTTTTCATTTTTCAATTTTTGATTCTCAATTTTTCATTATTCTTTCAATTCTTTGATTTCTCAATGTTTGATTTTTCAATTTTATAATTTTTAGGCGTTTCAATGTTACAATTTTCTGATTTTTAAATTTTTCAAAATTTCGGTTTGAATAAATTTGCCCTTTTGTTGAATAATTAAAAAATGAAAAATCGGGAAAATAAAGAATTAAAAATTGAGAATTTGAAAAATTTTAAATCTAAAGATTGCAGAATTGCTTCGTTTTGTCGATTTTTCAATTTCTCGATTTTTAATTGTTTTCTTTTTTGATGTTTCAGTGTTACAATTTTTCGATTTTTCAATTAACCGATTCAATTTCTCAATTTTTCAATTTTTCGGTATTTCAAGTTTCATTTTAAAATCCTTGGATTTTGAAATTAAAAATTTTTGTATTTTTGATTATTTAATTTATAGAAATTTTTGGTTTTCGTTTTTTTAATTTTTCAATTTCTCGATTTTTAACTAATAAGGGTTTTCAGGTTTCTATATTACAATTTTTCCATTTTTCAATTGTTTTTTCAATTATCCACTTGTTTAATTTCTCATTTTATTCATTTTTCGATTTTTCAATTTTAAAATTTTTCGATGTTACAAGGTTCATTTTTCAATTTTTGATTCTCAATTTTTCTTTATTTTTTCAATTCTTCAACTTCTCAATGTTTAAATTTTTTGATTTTTCAATTTTATAATTTTTAGACGTTTCAATGTTACAATTCTCTGATTTGTAAATTTTTCAAAATTTCGATTTGAATAAATTTGCCCTTTTGTTGAATAATTAAAAAATGAAAAATCGGGAAAATATGGAATTAAAAATTGAAAATTTGAAAAATTTTATATATCGATAATCTGCAAAATTGTTTCTTTTTGTTAATTTTTTCAATTATTTTGTTTTTTGATGTTTCAGCGTTACAAATTTCCAGTTTATCAAAAGTTCAGTTTGAATAAATTTGTCCTTTGTTGGACAATTAAAAAATGAAAAATCGAGAAAATGAAAAATTAAAAATCGAGAATTTGAAAAATTTTATATCGAAAAATTGCAAAATTGCTTCGTTTTGTCGATTTTTCAATTTCTCGATTTTTAATTAATCAGGGTTTTCAGGTTTCTATATTACAATTTTTCCATTTTTCAATTGATTTTTCAATTATCCACTTGTTTAATTTGTCATTTTTTTCATTTTTCGATTTTTCAATTTTAAAATTTTTCGATATTTCAAGTTTCATTTTTCAGTTTTTGATTCTCAATTTTTCTTTATTTTTTCAATTCTTCGACTTCTCAATGTTTACATTTTTTTATTTTTCAATTTTATAATTTTTAGACGTTTCAATGTTATAATTTTCTGATTTTTAAATTTTTCAAAATTTCGATTTGAATACATTTTTCCTTTTGTTGAACAATTAAAAAATGAAAAATCGGGAAAATATGGAATTAAAAATTGAGAATTTGAAAAATTTCATATCGAAAAACTGCAAAATTGCAAAATTATTTCTTTTGGTTGATTTTTTCAATTTCTCGATTTTTAATTATTTTGTTTTTTGATATTTCAGTGATACAATTTTCCGGTTTATCAAAAGTACAGTTAGAATAAATTTGTCCTTTGTTGAACAATTAAAAAATGAAAAATCGAGAAAATGAAAAATTAAAAATCGAGAACTTGAAAAATTTTATTTCGAAAAACAACAGAATTTCTTCGTTTTGTCGATTTTTCAATTTCTCGATTTTTAATTAATTAAGATTTTCAGGTTTCTATATTACAATTTTTCCATCTTTTAATTGTTTTTTTCAATTATCTACTTGTTTAATTTCTCATTTTTTTCATTTTTCAATTTTTCAATTTTGAAATTGTTCGATATTTCAAGTTTCATTTTTCAATTTTTGATTCTCAATTTTTCTTTATTTTTTCAATTCTTTGCCTTCTCAATGTTTAATTTTTTTGATTTTTCAATTTTATAATTTTTAGATTTTTAAATTTTTCAAAATTTCGGTTTGAATAAATTTGTCCTTTTATTCAATAATTAAAAAATGAAACATCGGGAAAATAAAGAATTAAAAACTGCAAAATTGCAAAATTATTTATTTATATTTTTGTTGATTTTTTCAATTTCTCGATTTTTAATTATTCTTGCATGTTTTAATGTTTCGGTGTTACAGTTGTTCGATTCTGCAAAATTTTATTTTGGTTAAAATTAAAATATGTAAAATCATCTAAATATGTACCAAAAATATTCACTTAGTGGTTATAAAAACCGACCAAACAACTATTTCCCGCAGAAATTATAGTCCAAACCAACCAAATCGCTTCTGAACGCTTAGAGTCGACATTGGCTTGAGCGCGCTCTGGTCTGTAGATCAAACAAGTTCTCAGGCGACGAGTTGTAGTGAAACAAGCTTTTTTTATTGACATCGACTATTTAAATTTGGCGCTTGCCTTTGGCGGTTGAGGACTCCAATGTCAATAAGGGTGGTTTTGCAAAATCAGCCTGTATGCCGCATCTATATTAATCTATGGTATAACTCTGAAAATAAAATATATTTTAGCTAATTAAAAAAACAAACAAAGAAATACCTGCAGTCTGGTAAAATCTATCTTAGCCCATGCGCCTTAAACGTAAATATGTGTAAAAATCAACATCCAAAGGCAAAATCACCTTAAGAGAATGTTGTATAGTTGGTTGCATATGTACGTCAATGCAAATTTTGAAATTGCAGTTTTTTGCGCTTTGATCACTATTTGAGTAAAAAGTAAACCCACATTCGTTAAAATACTGCAGTTGAAGTCATATTTACAACATTTATTAAAAAGTACGTAATATTTCAGTCATACGTCAGCACCCTAACCTCACTTTTTGCAGTTATAAGATTAAGAAGAAATGAACTCTCAGATCGAATCCATTAAAACAGAAACCATTTTCGGTGGCCTATTCGAATGTACAAATACCATTGAAAGTTTCATTTGTAGAGAATGTCCAAATTTCCAAACGTATAACCTAGTGTACCTACGACAACATGGAACACACTGTGAAGAACCTAAACAACAAGTCAAGAAGTGTAGAAAATGCCATTTTCAAACCTACTCTCATCTCATTTTGTTTCGTCACCGGACTTTCGATAAGTGCACTTCAGAAAAACACCCGGAAAAGCGATTTTTCCAGTGTATCTACTGTTCTTCTAAATTTGTACTCAGCGAGGATCTAATCGCACACATTAAATGCGTTCATGGTGACTTACCGTACCTTCAGTGCGAACAGTGTGGGTTTATGACATCGTCAAAACAAATATTAAAAGACCACGTCGTAATAAAACACCTGTCGGATGATCAAATAGAATGGGCCTATTGCAAACACTGTTCGTCTAAATTCAAGCTTAAAAAATATCTAGCGAGACACATCAAGTACCAACACCTCACCCCAGAAGAGACGCAATGGTTCCAATGTGAACACTGCCCGGCCAGATTCAATTACAAACAATCTTTGAAAGAACACGTTATCGCCAAACATCTGCCAGAAGACGAAATCCGGTGGTTCCAATGCGTGCACTGTCCGTCTAGATTCAAAGACAAAAGGTCTCTGAACAGTCACACGACAGCGCGGCATTTGCCCGAAGACAAAGTTCAGTGGTTGCAATGCGACCACTGCACCGCCAAATTCAAGAAGAAAAGATCTTTGCGGAAACACATCTTCATGAACCATTTACCTGAAGACCAGATTTCGTGGTTGCAATGCGACCACTGCTCGGCCAAATTCAGGCAAAAATCCTGCTTGACCGGCCACATAATCGCCAAGCATTTACCCGAAGACGAAATCCAGTGGTACCAGTGCGAGCACTGCTCCCAGAGATTCAAGTTCAAAAATAACCTAAACACCCACGTTAAACTGAAGCACTTGCCGGAGAACGAGGTCCAGTGGTTTTACTGCGAGTTTTGTCCTTCGAAGTTTAAAATTAAGCAAGGGTTGCGGCGACACATGAAATCTTGTGGGGCTAAAGCTGGTTTCAAGGGGGTGAAGTGCGAGTTTTGCACGTCTAGGTTTAAAAACAAGAGGTGTTTGGATTATCACGTTATGGTGAAGCATACGCCGGAAGATCAGATAAACTGGCATCAATGTGAGCAGTGCGTTGCCAAGTTTAAGCAGAAGTCGCACTTGAAGAGTCACGTTTTTGCCAAGCATCTGCCAGAGGAGGAAGTTCGGTGGTTTAAGTGTGAGCATTGTCCGAAGAAGTTCAAATGGAAGAGTATTTTGACGGGGCATCTCAAGGTACACGAGAAACAGGCTTCAGAGAATTGTTTTCAGAAAGAAGACGTGCAGTGATAACGAAATTTGGTTTCAACTTGTGATAAAAAGTTTTTGCTGCAACACCAGGGTTTGTTTGATTGTGTAATTTATGGAAAAAGTTAAATAAAAGTAGGAAAAATGTTATATATTATTCTAATACGAAAATTAGGCAACCCACAATACACTAATATGAATATAGGTAACACAGCATACATTAATTTCCGCACGCGTGCCAACCAATCACAACAAAACTCACTCAAACTGGCGCCAAATTCAAACATTCATCGTGTGTATTCACTTTCGATATGATTTTATATTTATTATTGTGTGGGAGCATTTTTTTTGCTTTGTTAGTTCTCCGATTTTACAATTTTTTGAGTTTTAAACTTTTAGTTTTTTAATTTTTCAATTTCGTGTTTTTTTATTTTTCAGCAAAAGAACAAATTTATCCAAACTGAAATATTGGAAAATCGGAAAATTGTATCATTGAAACAATGAAGAATACAAAAATTTTAAAATCCAAAATCCAAAAATTTCAAAATGAAAATCGAGGCACCGAAAAATTGAAAAATTGTAAAAACATGGATAAATTAAAAATAAAACTGCAAAATCGGTAATTGAAAAATTGGAAAAAAAAAAACGAAAAACGGAACAATTTTGCAATTTTTCAATTTTGAAGTTTTCAAGTTCTTGATTTCCAATTTTAACCAAAATAAAATTTTGCAGAATCGAACAACTGTAACACCGAAACATTAAAACATGCAATAATAATTAAAAATCGAAAAATTGAAAAATCGACAAAACGCAACAATTCTGCAATTTTTCAAATTCTCGATTTTTCATTTTTTAATTGTTCAACAGAAGGACAAATTTATTCAAACTGAACTTCTTAAAAACCGAAAAACTGCAACACTGAAACATCGAAGAACAAAATAATTAAAAATCGAGAAATTGAAAAAACCAACAAACAGAAACAATTTTGCAGTTTTTGGATATAAAATTTTTCAAATTCTCAATTTTTAATTCTTTTTTTTTCTCGATTTTTCATTTTTTAATTGTTCAACAAAAGGACAAATTTATTCAAACCGAAATTTTGAAAAATTGAAAAAGCAAAAAATTTAAACATTGAGCAGTCGAAGGATTGAAAAAATAAATTAAAACTGAGAATCAAAAATTGAAAAATGAAACTTGAAATACCGAAAAATTTTAAAATTGAAAAATCACAAAATGAAAAAAATGAGAAATTAAACAAGTGGTTAATTGAAAAACAATTGGAAAATGGAAAAATTGTAATATAGGAACCTGAAAACCCCGATTAATTAAAAATCGAGAAATTGAAAAATCGACAAAACGACACAATTCTGCAATTTTTCGATATAAAATTTTTCAAATTCTCGTTTTTTTTAATTGTTCAATAAAAGGACAAATTTATTCAAACTGAACTTTTGAAAAACAGAAAAATTGTAACACTGAAACATCAGAAAACAAAATAATTAAAAATCGAGAAATTGAAAAAATCAACAAAAAAAAACAATTTTGCAGTTTTTCGATATAAAATTTTTCTAATTCTCAATTTTTAATTCTTTATTTACTCGATTTTTCATTTTTTAATTTTTCAACAAAAGGACAAATTTATTCAAATAGAAATTTTGAAAAATTTAAAAATCAGAAAATTGTAACATTGAAACATCTAAAAATTATAAAATTGAAAAATCAAGAAAAATTAAACATTGAGAAGGCGAAGAATTGAAAAAATAAAGAAAAATTTCGAATCAAAAATTGAAAAATAAAAAAAAATGAGAAACTATACAAGTGGATAATTGAAAAAACAATTGAAAGATGGAAAAATTGTAGTATAGAAACCTGAAAACTCTTATTAATTAAAAATCGAGGAATTGAAAAATTGAAAAAACGAAAAACAAAAATTTCTATAAATTAAATAATCAAAAATACAAAAATTTGTAATTTCAAAATCCAAAGATTTTTAAATGAAACTTGAAATATCGAAAAATTGAAAAATTGAGAAATTGAATTGGATAATTGAAAAATTTGGAAATTGAATTGGATAATTGAAAAATTGAAAAATTGTAACACTGAAACATCAAAAAACAAATCAATTAAAAATCGAGAAATTAGAAAATTGACAAAACGAAGCAATTCTGCAATTTTTCGATATAAAATTTTTCAAATTTTCAGTTTTAATTCTTTATTTTCTCGATTTTTCATTTTTTAATTATTCAACAAAAGGACAAATTTATTCAAACCGAAATTTTGAAAAATTTAAAAATCAGAAAATTGTAACATTGAAACGTCTAAAAATTATAAAATTGAAAAATCAAAAAATTGAAACATTGAGAAGTCGAAGAATTGAAAAAATAAATACAGATTGAAAAAACTGAAAAAATGAGAATCAAAAATTGCAAAATGAAACTTGAAATATCGAAAAATTTTAAAATTGAAAAATCGAAAAATGAAAAAAATGAGAAATTAAACAAGTGGACAATTGAAAAAACAATTGAAAAATGAAAAAATTGTAATATAGAAACCTGAAAACCCTGATTAATTAAAAATCGAGAAATTGAAAAATTCAAAAAACGAAAAACAAAAATTTCTATAAATCAAATAATCAAAAATACAAAAATTTTTATTTCAAAATCCAAAGATTTTAAAACGAAACTTGAAATATCGAAAAATTGAAAAATTGAGAAATTGAATTGGATAATTGAAAAATCGAAAAATTGTAACACTGAAACATCAAAAAACAAAACAATTAAAAATCGAGAAATTGGAAAATCGACAAAACGAAGCAATTCTGCTATTTTTCGATAAAAAATTTCTCAAATTCTCGATTTTTATTTCTTCATTTTCTCGATTTGCCCCTTTTTAATTGTTCAACAAAAGGACAAATTTATTCAAACCAAAATTTTGAATTGAATTAAAAATCAAAAAATTGAGAAATCGAAGAATTAAAAAAAATAAAGAAAACTTGAAAAAACCGGAAAAATGAGACTTAAAAACTGAAAAATGAAACTTGAAATTTCGAAAAATTTAAAAATTGAAAAATCGAAAAATGAAAAATTGGTAAATTGAACAATGGGATAATGGAAAAACAATTGAAAAATTGAAAAATTGTAATATTGAAACCTAAAAAACCTGATTAATTAAAAATCGAGAAAGTGAAAAATTGAAAAAACGAAAAACAAAAATTTCTAAAAAATTGGCAAACTGAAAATTGGGTAACGAAAAAACAATTCAAAAATGGAACAACTGAAAAAAAGATAGAAACTCTAAAATCGCAAATTTGTTAGATTGAAACCTGAAAGAGTGATAAATTAAAAATCTAGGAAATGAAAAATCGAAAAAACGAAAAATTGTAAAATTCAACAGATAGAAAATCGAAAAATTATAAAACAAATTAGAAAATCGAAAAATTAAAGTATCTACCTATCAAAAAATCATCAAATACAAAAAGTTTACTGAAAAATGCAACAATTTCATAATGAAAATCGAAAAACTAAAAGATGGAGAAATCGAAACACGGAAAAATCGAAAAATTATCAATAAAAATAACGAAAAATATAAAAATCTCGAATTGAGAAAACAAAAAATCGAAGAAACAAAATAATTTGGAATTGCCTACTTGGAACTATTTTATTTTTAAAATAAATTCGAAAATCATAAAGATTAAACATTGAGAAGTCGAAGAATTGAAAAAATAAATAAAAATTGAGAATCAAAAATTGAAAAATGAAACTTGAAATATCGAAAAATTTTAAAATTGAAAAATCGAAAAATGAAAAAATTGAGAAATTCAACAATGGGATAATTGAAAAAACAATTGAAAAATCTAACAACTATAATATTGAAACCTGAAAACACTGATTAATTAAAAATCTAGAAATTGAAAAAATCAACAAAAAGAAATAATTTTGCAGTTTCGATATAAAATTTTTCAAATTCTCAATTTTTAATTCTTCATTTTCTCAATTTTTCATTTTTTAATTGTTCAACAAAAGGACAAATTTATTCAAACCGAAATTTTGAAAAATTAAAAAATTAAAAAATTTAAACATTGAGAAGTCGAAGAATTGAAAAAATAAAGAAAAATTGAAAAAATCGAAAAAATGAGAATCAAAAATTGAAAAATGAAACTTGAAATATCAAAAATTCTAAATTTGAAAAATCGGAAAATGAAAAAAATGAGAAATTAAACAAGTGGATAATTGAAAAAACAGTTGAAAAATGTGAAAATTGTAATATAGGAACCTGAAAACCCTGATTAATTAAAAATCGAGAAAGTGAAACATCAACAAAACGAAGCAATTCTGCAATTTTTCGATATAAAATTTTTAAAACCGAGAAATCAGATTTGAAAAAGATACAGAAACTGAAAAATCGGGCAATTGAAAAGCCAAGAATTGTACACTTGAAAAAAATCCTAATAATAATTATTTGAAAAAAATGAAAAATTAAAAATCGGGAAATTTAAAAATGAAACAATTACAAAATTATAAATTTGAAAAAAAAAATAAAAACGTAAAATTGTAACCTGAAAAAGTGATAAATTAAAAATTGATAAATTGAAAAATCGAAGAAACGAAAAATTATAAAAAGCAACTTGGAAAATCGTAAAGTTAAAATATCTGCAAATTAAAAAATCGAGACATACAAAAAAAATTTTACTGAAAAATAAAAATTATAATGAAAATCGAAAAAATTAAAAAATCGAAGAATCGAAACAATTTGGAATTACACACTTGGAAGTACTTTATTTTTAATCTGGTGGTTCCAATGCGTGCACTGTCCGTCTAGATTCAAAGACAAAAGGTCTCTGAACAGTGAGACAGTCACACGACGGCGCGGCATTTGCCCGAAGACAAAGTTCAGTGGTTGCAATGCGACCACTGCTCGGCCAAATTCAGGCAAAAATCCTGCTTGACCGGCCACATAATCGCCAAGCATTTACCCGAAGACGAAATCCAGTGGTACCAGTGCGAGCACTGCTCCCAGAGATTCAAGTTCAAAAATAACCTAAATACCCACGTTAAACTGAAGCACTTGCCGGAGAACGAGGTCCAGTGGTTTTACTGCGAGTTTTGTCCTTCGAAGTTTAAAATTAAGCAAGGGTTGCGGCGACATATGAAGTCTTGTGGGGCTAAAGCTGGTTTCAAGGGGGTGAAGTGCGAGTTTTGCACGTCTAGGTTTAAAAACAAGAGGTGTTTGGATTATCACGTTATGGTGAAGCATACGCCGGAAGATCAGATCAACTGGCATCAGTGTGAGCAATGCGTTGCCAAGTTTAAGCAGAAGTCGCACTTGAAGAGTCACGTTTTTGCCAAGCATCTGCCAGAGGAGGAAGTTCGGTGGTTTAAGTGTGAGCATTGTCCGAAGAAGTTTAAATGGAAAAGTATTTTGACGGGGCATCTCAAGGTACACGAGAAACAGGCTTCAGAGAATTGTTTTCAGAAAGAAGACGTGCAGTGATAACGAAATTTTGGTTTCAACTTGTGATAAAAAGTTTTTGCTGCAACACCAGGGTTTGTTTGATTGTGTAATTTATGGAAAAACGTTAAATAAAAGTAGGAAAAATGTTGTGTTATTTTAATACAAAAATTAGGCAACCCACAATACACACAGCATACATTAATTTCCGCAAGCGTGCCGACCAATCACAACAAAACTTTCAAACTGACGCCAAATTCAAATATTATTCATCGTGTGTATTCACTTTCCATATGATTTTATATTTATTATTGTGTGGGAGCATTTTTTTCGCTTTGTTAGTTCTCCGATTTTGCAATTTTTTGAGTTTTAAACTTTTAGTTTTTTAATTTTTCAATTTCGTGTTTTTTTATTTTTCAGCAAAAGAACAAATTTATTCAAACTAAAATATTGGAAAATCGAAAAATTGTATCAATGAAACAATGAAGAATACAAACATTTCAAAATGAAAATCGAGAAACAAAAAAATTTAAAAATTGTAAAAACATAGAAAAACTAAAAATAAAACTGCAAAATCGGTAACTGAAAAATTGGAAAAACGAAAAAATAAAAAAATCCCGAAATTGATACATCAAAAAATCGAAAAACGGAACAATTTTGCAATTTTTCAATTTTGAAGTTTTCAAGTTCTTGATTTCCAATTTTAACCAAAATAAAATTTTGCAGAATCGAACAACTGTAACACCGAAACATTAAACATGCAACAATAATTGAAAACCGAGAAATTGAAAAATCGAAAAAACGCAAAAATTCTGCAATTTTTTGATATATATTTTTCAAATTCTCGATTTTTCATTTTTTAATTATTCAACAAAGGACAAATTTATTCAAACTGAACTTCTGAAAAACCGAAAAATTGTAACATTGAAACATCAAAAAAATTAAACATTGAGAAGGCAAAGAATTGAAAAAATAAAGAAAAATTGAGAATCAAAAATTGAAAAATGAAACTTGAAATATCGAACAATTTCAAAATTGAAAAATTGAAAAATGAAAAAAATGAGAAAATAAACAAGTAGATAATTGAAAAAAACAATTAAAAGATGGAAAAATTGTAGTATAGAAACCTGAAAATCTTAAATAATTAAAAATCGAGAAATTGAAAAATCGACAAAACGAAGAAATTCTGCAATTTTTCGAAATAAAATTTTTATAGTTCTCGATTTTTAATTTTTCATTTTCTCGATTTTTCATTTTTTAATTGTTCAACAAAGGACAAATTTATTCAAACTGTACTTTTGATAAACCGGAAAATTGTATCACTGAAATATCAAAAAACAAAATTAATTAAAAATCGAGAAATTGAAAAAATCAACAAAAAGAAATAATTTTGCAATTTTGCAGTTTTTCGATATGAAATTTTTCAAATTCTCAATTTTTAATTCCATATTTTCCCGATTTTTCATTTTTTAATTGTTCAACAAAAGGACAAATTTATTCAGAGCGAAATTTTGAAAAATTTAAAAATCAGAAAATTGTAACATTGAAACGTCTAAAAATTATAAAATTGAAAAATCAAAAAATGTAAACACTGAGAAGTCGAAGAATTGAAAAAATAAAAAAAAATTGAGAATCAAAAACTGAAAAATGAAACTTGAAATATCGAAAAATTTTAAAATTGAAAAATCGAAAAATGAAAAAAAAGGAGAAATTAAACAAGTGGATAATTTGAAAAAACAATTGAAAAATGGAAAAATTTTAATATAGAAACCTGAAAACCCTGATTAATTAAAAATCGAGAAATTGAAAAATCGACAAAACCAAGCAATTCTGCAATTTTTCGATGTAAAATTTTTCAGATTCTCGATTTTTCATTTTTCATTTTCACGATTTTTCATTTTTTAATTGTTTACAAAGGACAAATTTATTCAAACTGAACTTTTGATAAACCGGAAATTTGTAACACTGAACATCAAAAAACAAAATAATTGATCAAATTAACAAAAAGAAACAATTTTGCAGATTTTCAATATAAAATTTTTCAAATTCTCAATTTTTAATTCTTTATTTTTCCGATTTTTCATTTTTTAATTATTCAACAAAAGGACAAATTCATTCAAATCGAAATTTTGAAAAATTTAAAAATCAGAAAATTGTAACATTGAAACGTCTTAAAAATTATAAAATTGAAAAATGAAAAAAATGAGAAATTAAACAAATCGATAATTGAAAAAACAATGGAAAAATGGAAAAATTGTAATGTAGAAACCTGAAAATCCTTATTAATTAAAAATCGAGAAATGGAAAAATCGACAAAACGAAGCAATTCTGCAATTTTTCGATATAAAATTTTTCAAATTCTCGATTTTTATTTCTTCATTTTCTTGATTTGTCATTTTTTAATTGTTCAACAAAACGACAAATTTATTCAAACCGAAATTTTGAATTGAATTGAAAAATGAAAAAATTGAGAAATCGAAGAATTAAAAAAATAAAGAAAACTTGAAAAAACCGAAAAAAAACTGAAAAATAAAACTTAAAATATCGAAAAATTTAAAAATTAAAAAATCGAAAAATGAAAAAATTGAGAAATTGACCATTGTTAAACAAGATAATTGAAAAATTGTAATATTGAAACCTGAAAACCTGATTAATTAAAACTCGAGACAGCGAAAAATCGAAAAAAGAAAAACAAAAACTTCTATAAATTAAACAATCAAAGATACAAAAAAAGATAAATTCAAAATCTAAAAATTTTAAAATGAAAACCGGAAAAGTAAAAAATTAAGACATTGTAAAAACGAAACATGGAAAAATTAAAAAATTGTAACATCGAAAAAACGAAACACTGAAAAACCGAAAAATTTAAAAGTTGAGAAATCGAAGAATTGAAAAAATACAGAAACTGAAAAATCGGAAAATGGACAAGCCAAAAATTTAATAATAAACCCCTAATTTTGAAAAAAGTGAAAAATTAAAAATCGGCGAATTTAAAAATGAAACATTTACAAAATTTTAAATTTGAAAAAAAAATTAAAAATGGAAAAACTGAAAATCAAAAATTGAAAAACCAAACTTGACATATCGAAAAATTGAAAAATTGTAATGTTAAAACCTGAAAACCTGATTAATTAAAAATCGAGAAAGTGAAAAATTGAAAAAACGAAAACAAAAACTTCTATAAATTAAACGATCAAAATACAAAAAAAAATTCAAAATTCAAAAATTTTAAAATGAAATCCGGGAAACTAAGAAATTGTAAAAACGAAACACTGAAAAACCGAAAAATTTAGAAGTTGAGAAATCGAAGAATTGAAAAAATACAGAAACTGAAAAATGGAAAAGCCAAAAATTGAATAATAAAAACCCTAATAATTATTTGAAACAAGTGAAAAATTAAAAATCGGCAAATTTAAAAATGAAACAATTACAAAATTTCAAATTTGAAAAAAAAAAATTAAAAATGGAAAAATTGAAAAACCAAACCTGAAATATAAAACTGGAAAAAATTGGCAAACTGAAAATAGGGTAACGAAAAAAAAAATGGAACAACCGAGAAAAAGATAGAAACCGTAAAATCGAAAATTTGTAACATCGAAACCTGAAAAAGTGATAAATTAAAAATCTAGGAATTGAAAAATCGAAAAAACGAAAAATTGTTAAAAGATGGAAAATCGAAAAATTAAAAAGTAAATTAGAAAATCGAAAAATTAAAATATATACGAATTAAAAAATCGAAAACTAAAAAATGGAGAAATCGAAACACGAAAAAATCGAAAAATTATCACTTAAAAAAACCAAAAATATAAAAATCTCGAATTGAGAAATCAAAAAATCGAAGAAACAAAATAATTTGGAATTACCTACTTGGAAGTACTTGATTTTTAATTTTTTATTTTCTCAATTTCTCGTTTTTTAATTTTTCAACAAAAGGACAAATTTATTAAAATTGAAATTTTAAAAAATCAAAAAATCGGAAAATTGTAACACTGAAAAATTGAAAAATCAAAAAATTATAAGCTGAAAAATCGAAAAAGAGACACTGAAAAACCCAACAATTTAAAAATTGGGACGTCGAAGAATTGAAAAAATAAAGAAACTTAAAATCGAATAACTAAAAGGTTAAAACAATTGAGAAATCGAAAAATCAAAAGATCAAGAAATCGTGGAGTCGAAAAGTCGAACAATTGAGAAACCGAAATAGGCCAAAATCGAAAAGTTAAAAATTGAACAATTTATAAATTGAGAAATTGACAATCAAATAGGTAGTAAAAAGGTAGACACATCGAAAAATCCAGAAGTCAAAAATAGAAAAGCCGAAGAATTGAAATATTGAAAAATCCTAAAGCTGAAATATCTAAAAACTGAAAAATCGAACAATCAAAAAAGTGAAGTCGAAAAATAGAAACCTTAAAAAATCGAAAAATTGAAAAATCAAAAACCCGGAAAATCAAAAAATTAACAGGAAAATCGAAACACTCGAAGGTCAGGAAATGGGAAAATCGAAACATCGATTAATTCAAAAATCGAAAAATTGAGAGTTTATAAAAGTCAAATTTGAAAAATTAAAAAATCGAAAACTTGACAAAATGACAATTGAAAAACAGAAAATCTAAAACCGGCAAGTCGAAAAATCAAAAGATTGAGAATACAAAAAGTAAAAAATTGAGAAATCAAAAAAATCCATCAATTCAAAAATCGAAAAGTCGAAAAATCGAAATATTGAAAAATCTCACAACTAAAATAAATATTCAAAAAATTGAGACATTAAAAAATTGGAAAATTGAGAAATCGAAAAACTAAAAAAGCAAAGTCGAAAAATCGTAAGCTTAAAAAATCGAAAAATTGAAGAAGTGAAAAATCGAAACTTTAGGAAGTCCAGAAATGGAAAAATAAAAAAAAAGTACTTTAGAAATCGGAAAACTGAAAATTTAGAAACGTGAAAATTTGAAAAATTGAAAAATCAAAATATTTAAAAACCCTAAAATTGAAGAGGACAAAAATTGAGAAATTGAATCACTGAAACATCGAAAAACTGAGAAATCGAAAAATAAAAAAACCGAGAAATGGAAAATTTGAAGAATGGAAAAATTGGAAAAGCCCAAAATTGAAATATTGAAAAATTGAGCCATTTAAAGTTGAAAAATCGAGAAATCGAAAAGTCGAAAAATCTCAATAGCGTATTTATAAATCACAAGATCAGGACTATGCTACATTTTAAAATTTAAATAACATTATAAATTGGAAAATGTTGACTTTTTTCCAAAAATCTCGTTAATAAATTCATAAAAACCTATATGGGATTTTTTTTGTCATACTAAAATTCTGAAGTTTATATATTTTCATATTTTGTACATATATGTTTATACACATTACTGTTTACGGAACACTGTTAATTATGGATTTATGGATAACTCCTCGTATAAGAGCAGAGTGAAGGGTGTTTGCTTTTGTTAATGTTTGATGGCGCCATCTGATGTAGAGTAAAATAAAGGCTCACTATTTAGGCGAAGTAAAATTTGTATATATATATTAGGTTGTCCAACTATGTATAATATACTTAAACAATGCTTCCATGTTTTAGTTCCGTTAAAAAATGACACGCTATGACACTTTTTTCACTCAAATGCGTGAAAAAATGAAACGCTATGACACTTTTTTTCATGCTTCTAGTGCGATGAAATAAACGTATCCTTTATAAACAAAAATTAATAAAAAATGTTACACTTTTTTTAACGAACGTTAAAAAAATAAATTATTAAAAGTCAACTGTAGACAAACAAATTAAAAATTAATGGTAATTAACATTCTTTTTAATTTGCATGTACGGCTTGCAATTTAGTATTTGTCTCATGGTTGTCTCTATAATTTCTATTTCTTCATTTCTTTTTATATTTTTGGATGACAAGTACCTCACAAAATATTAAATGCCCCTTAAAAGTTATACGTATAGGCACCCATTCGTGCACCGTAATGCAGCGCCTCTACAAATCAAAAATAATGTGTTGAACTAAGAATACGGCGGGCCATCACGTCTTCTGCGCATGTCACCAATCCGAATCCCCACCAAGCGTCAACTGTCAAAAATTTAAAATATTCGGTACGTTTGAAGCAAAACAATTTGTTCTAGTCAGTGTGTGGTCAGTGTTATCGGCGATTTATCAAAGTTTAATGAAGTTGGGTTTTTGTTGGAGCCATGGGTGCCACAACAAACCACAAACTCAATTGACGCGATACCTTTGTTTATATTGTTTGATTTAACCTCAAAATTTGTGTTCGTTATGTCTGATTTAAATTTAAACGACGTGAGTCTTACCGAAAAGTTCAAAAGGGAGTATAATGAGCAGTTTCACATTTTGGTGAGGATGCACTTGTCGTTTCTGCTGGATCAAACGACTGATGAGTAAGTTTTTAAAATTTTATTACAATAGGGTTAAAATTGGTGTGGTGTTCCAGTAACGAGTGTTTGTCGGACAAAAGTAGACTGAAGAAGTGGTCTTTAGTGCCTTTTAACAAGAAATCTAAAAGTAGAGGGGTCTTGGAAGGGGCGCCTTTGACTCACGAAGGCATCTGCCAGGTCTATCAATTGATTGAGTTTTTAAAAAAGGAGCAAAGTAATTTAAATGTTGTGTGTTTATTGTCGCTAAAACTAGGGTTGTAGATATTAAAACTGAGGGGATTTTTCGGAAAAGTGGCTCCTCTGTTCGCCAGCAAGAACTGCGAAATTTATTGAGTAGGGGCATAACTCTGGAATTGGAAGGAAGTCCGTATAGCATACATGATTGTGCGTCAGTTCTCAAAGGATTTTTAGCCGAACTTCCGGATCCTTTGCTGACGGAAATCCACTATCTAGCGTACTGCCAGATTGCAGGTACCCAAAACTTATTTTTTATAAAAATTAAAATATATTTTATGAAATTTTCAGAGTTATGCAACGTGGGTGAAAAATCCATGCAGTCAGAAAAACTCCTTGCAGCCCTCCAGCTCCTCCTCCTCCTCCTCCCCACTGAAAACAAAGTTCTTTTGAAAGACATCCTCGAACTCTTACACCTCACCGCCTCCTATGAAACCCACAACCGCATGTCAGCTGATAACTTGGCTAAACTGTTCACCCCTCACTTACTATGCCCCCGCAACCTCTCCCCTGAAAAGCTCCACCTCAATTCCCAAACCCTCTCCGGGATTGTTTCTTTCATGATCACCGCCAATTCCGAGTTATTCAAAATCCCCCAGAACCTGATTCTCGAATTTCGAGCCCGCTATGAAAAACGCAAAGCTTTAGCCTCCCAGTGCCTTAACGAATCCGTCAGCGATCAATTCGCAGCCAACACAGTATTCACATTCGTCGATCAGGAAAGGACTGCCAAAGAAAACGAAACAAACACCACAGAGACGGCCTTAGCACAATTATACGCTCATATTCAGAGTCTTCCAGAGTCCTCAAAAAAGAGGAAGTTAGTTAAACAGTTCAATAAAGAAAACGGACACGGGACGCCGCTCCAGGTGATGAGGAGTAGCATCCAGAAGAATAAGAGCCTGGGGGATTCCATCAAGAAGCACATCTTCCATAAGAGCGTGGTGAAGAGTTTAAAGAAAGCGCATCTGCGGGTAAGCAGCGAAGACAGTAATGTGGATGTAAGTTTCTAAGGTTATGTTAACTTTAACTTCTTTTTTTATGTTAATTTTATGGCTTTTGTGTGTGTTTACTGACAGTCTGCTTTGTCCAGTTAAAAAAAAAAAAATCGATGACGTCATATCACCGCCTACTTTAACAATATAACCATTGTTTAAGTATATTATAGTTGGACAACCTGTACGGACAATCACTTTCCCATGTAGAAAAGAATGAATATATATTTTACATCTCACTCGCTTCACTATGAAGTGACGGTACCTTACGAAAGGGGGTAAAAATAGTGCGTAAGCACGTGATGTCGATAAGGTAGTAAACGGACGTATTAATTGTAATTGTAATTGTAATAAAAAAAAATTGGACAATCGAAAATTTAAAAATTCCGAAAATCGAAAAATTGAAATATAGAGAACTGAAAACTCAAAAAATCGTAAAAAATTAATAATTTCAAAAATTGAAAAGTTAAAATTGAGAAATCGAAAAACTGAAAAATCACAAAATTGAACGAAATATAAAAAAATTAGGAAATTAAAAAATTGAGAAACAAAAAAGTCAAAAAAGCAGAGTCTAAAAATCGCAAACTTAAAAAATCGAAAAATTGAAAAATCAAAAACCTGAGTAATCGAAAAATTGAAGAACTGAAGAACTGAAAAATCGAAACTTTAGGAGGTGGAGAAATGGGAATATAAAAAAATAGATTAATTGAGAAATCCGAAAACTAAAAATTCAGAAACGTCAAAATTTGAAAAATAAAAAAATATTGAAGAACTAAAAAATCGAAAAATCTAAAATTTAAAACATTGAAAAGTTAAAATATCCTAAAACTGAAAAATGGAGAAATCCAAACATCAAAAAATCAAAAAAAATAAATAAAAATAAAAATCTAAAATTTAATAATCGAAAAACTGAAAAATCAACGAATCGAGAAGTCGAGAATTTAAAAAATTGGACAATTGAAAAATCGGATAAATCAAAAATCGAAACATCGAAAAATTGAGAAACCGAAAAGCAAAAAATCGAAAAACCAACAAATCGAAAAATCGAAACATTGTAAAATTAAAAAATTGAGACATCGAGAAATCGAAAAATCAAAAGACAAAAAAAATCGAGGAGTCGAAAAATCGAGAAGTCGAAAAATCAAAAAATTGAGAAACCGAAGTAGGCCAAAATCGAAAAATCGAAAACTTAAATATGGAAAAATTGATAAAGCGAGAGATTGAATAATCAAAACATCGAAACATCCGAATCTCAATGAATTGAGATCTCAAAAAATTTAAACATTCGTAAATTTAAAAAATTAAAATATAGAACTGGAAACTCGAGAAACTGAAAAATCTAGAAATTTAAAAATTAAAATATGAAAAAGTTGAAAAATTGAGAAATTGAAATAAAAAACAAAAAACTGAAAATCCAAAAATAAAAAATAGAAAAATCTAGAAGTCGAAAAATGAAAGAATCGAAGTATTGAAAAATATCAAAACTGAAAGAAATATCCAAAAATTGAGAAATCGACAAACTATTAAAGCGAAGTCGAAAAATCGAAGAATTGAAGAACTGAAAAATCGAAACTTTGAGAAGTGGGAAAATCAAAAATAGATTAATTGAGAAATCAGAAAACTGAAAATTTAACGCAAAAATTTGAAAATTGAAAAATTTAAATACTGAAGAACTGAAAAGTCAAAAAATCGAGAAATCGAAAAAACTAAAATTTAAAACAATGAATAATTAAAATATCGCAAAATTGAAGAATCGAGAAATCCAATTCAATTTGAAAAATTGAAAAATCGGGGCATTGAAACATTGGAAAATCCAGAAATTGAAAAGCTCAAAAGAAAAAAATCGAAAAACCGAGAAATACAAAAATCGAAACATTGAAAAATTCAAAAACTAAGACTTCGAGAAATCGAAAAATCGGAGGATCGAGAAATTGAGGAGTCGGAAGCCGAAAGGGAAAGTTAAAAATTGAGAAATTGAATAATCAAAACAACGAAACATCTGAATTCGATAAATTGAGAAATTAAAAAATTGAATAATTTTAAAAAAGAAAAACTGGAAAATCAAAAATTAAAATTCAAAAAATCGAAAAATTGAAAAATTGAAATATAGAAGAACTGAAAACTCGAGATATCGAAAAACCTAGAATTTTAAAAAATGAAATATTAAAACATCGAAAAGTTTAAAAATTGAGAAATCGAAGCATTAAACTGTCCCAGAATTGAAAAATCTGAAGTTTACAATAAATTGAAAATCCAAAAAGGAAAAAAGCGAGAAATCAAAAAAATCCATCAATTCAAAAATCGAAAAGTCGAAAAATTTAAGTATTGAAAAATCTCATAACTGAAAGCAATATTAAAAAAATTGAGAAATTAAAAAATTGGAAAATTGAGAAATCGAAAATCTAAAAAAGCAAAATTGAAAAATCGTAATCTTAAAAAATCGAAAAATTGAGGAATTGAAGATGTGAAAAATCGAAACTTTAGGAAATCCAGAAATGGACAAATAAAAAAAATACTTTAGAAATCGGCAAACTGAAAATTTGAAAAATTGAAAAATCGAAATATTTAAAAACCGTAAAATTGAAGAGGACAAAAATTGAGAAATCGTATCATTGAAACATCGTAAGATTGAGAAATCGAAAAATAAAAAAATCGAGAAATAGAAAATTTAAGGAATGGAGGAATCGGAAAAGCCCAAAATTGAAATATTGAAAAATTGAGACATTTAAAGTTGAAAAATCGAGAAATCGACAAGCCGAAAAATCCCAATAGCGTATTTAGGTATAAATCACAAGATCAGGACTATTCTACTTTTTAAAATTTAAATACATAACATTATAAATTGGAAAATGTTGATTTTTTTTCCAAAAATCTTGACGTCTAAGGTGAAAACTCGACACGGATGCATAAACCGTAAACGGGGCGAAACTACAATTTTACTATTGTAAAATTTGGAGATTGCGTCATTTCATTGTTCGTGACAAATTTTGGAGAGTGTAATTTAATAATACAATTTGAAATGTAAATTTTGTCATTCGGGAACATTATGTATTAAATCGTTAAAATGTTCAAGAACTTTGTTCACTTATTCGTTGTAAAGTCCAATGGTCGAAATGGGTTAGTTCTTCGTAGTGGATGTGTATCAGATCAACTCTAACGAATATCGGTTTATAGATAAATCGCTTAAAGCCGATATTGGCCTGAGTGTGCTTTGGTCTGTAGATCAAACAAGTTCTCAGGCGACGAAAAATTGCAGAAAATTGGGAGACTTCGGATTACAAATCGTGTCAAGAAAGACATATTTGGGAGAGATGGATTTTCAGGTGCTTGACTAGCGGTAATTTTAAATTGTTTGCTGTCGTTCGCGAAGTGAAGAACACAATTTCATTAAAATGATAATTATAAAATTATCATAATCACTATTGGCGTTAATTAACACAAAATGGCGCGCAAGTTATCAGTTGATTTCGTTAATAAATTCATAGAAACCTATATGGGATTTTTTCATGCCTTAGAAAATTAAAAAGTAAAAAATACAATAACAAAAATTTTAAAATGCGGTTTACGAAAAATTAGTTGACCTGTGCAAAGAAGAAAATTTTGGAAACGCTGACAAATATTACATCTTAAAAAAAATAATACTTGAAGAAGTGCTTTCGGCGTAATATTTTTGATGCTCCCGTGAACAAAATACTCTATGTCAGTGTGCAGTGCGCAAAGAGTTAACTGTGCAGATCTAGCCGAAAATCCGAAAACCAAATCGCTGTGTGTAGGGCCAGCATAACGGAAGTAATAAATCATCCCATCGGTTGAAGAACGTTGGGTCGGTGCACTGATGTCGGTGTTATATCCCGAGAGGGGCCCAATACACCCAATAAAATCGAACAGACAAAATAAAGCTTCAAACATGATTATTTTTATACTAAAATTCTGAAGTTTATAAACTGCACATTTTATTTATTTATTTATTTATTTTATCTTGTTTTCGAACTATAATAAACATTTCAAACAATGTCTGTAACTTATTTTAATGTAAATTATATTCATGTGGTTAACAAAATCAGATGTAATATTAGTGTGATTTTGACCTTGTTCTAGATTTTATTACAGCAGAACGGCGTATCCTTTTTAAATTTTAGAAGTTACGGAAACTAGTTCAAGAAACAATTAGTTATCTCGTATTTTTGGCACAAAATCTACCAAAATGTCCGATAACAGCAATTGTTTTTCATAGAAACAAACAGTCTTCAAAGCAGCCTTTAACAACTCGATATTACAAACATGCCTCTTAAGTTCTTTATGCGTTTTTTTCTCTCTTGTAATTATTTGTAATTTAACGCCGAAAGTTTATGTCATTGTGTTATTTACTTTGAACATATATTTTCATTTTGTGTTAATATTTTTGTAACACCACGAATCTAAATTTTACTTAAAATCATGTTTTACTTTAATCTTGTAAAACTAAACAATTATACCAGTTTAAAAACCCTTGGAAAGTTTCTGTCAGTCTTCAAATAAAAATATGCGTCAAATTCATTTAAATTCAATTCTTTCTTATCACATTACAACGCGTTGCTTCATATTTTTTATGTCAAGTATATTTTCATATTTTGTACACATATGTTTATACACATTACTGTTTACGGAACAATGTTAATTATGGATTTATGGATAACTCCTCGTATAAGAGCAGAGTGAAGGGTGTTTGCCTTTGCTAATGTTTGATGGCGCCATCTGATTTAGAGTAAAATAAACCTAAAACGTTCGCTCACTGTAGTGAAAATGCGCGTTGACGAAAAATTTGTCCCACGCCCCCTGGATTCCTTGTCCTAAAGCTCACTATTTAGGCGAAGTAAAATTTGTATTAGGTTGTCCAACTATAATATAGTTAAACAATGATATAACTAAACATGTCATTATTATTAAAAAAAAACTGGACACTCTTCTACTCTGCATCGTTGCATGCTTTTCAGACTCCCCCCCACCACACACCACTAACCCGCACAAAACTCTTCTGTGCCAACTGCGATTCAAGCACAGAGAAGAGTCCAAACGACGAACCCGAGTTGAAAAAAACCCGACGTGTTTCGAATAACGTTAAAACAACGTCAGATCCTGAAGATGGTCCGTGCGTGACGAGTACGCCTGCGTGCGTGACTCTTCATTTCACCCCAGACGAAAGGGACCGTAAGTCCATGTCACCCATTACCAGATCCACACAACGCATGCCGAGAGCCATGCAGGTATGGGGGAAGTCGCCATTTTTTCCAGGAACCATTTCCATTTGCCGCTTTTTCACAACTAAATGAAAATGGTTCCAGTAAATCTGCAGCTTTTGTCGCCATTTTTCTTGCTTCGTCGCTACCGTTTGCGCGATTTTGTTCCTTATGTGTAATGTTATTAGGAAACTATGATGACCCCCAGAAGCCGGAAGCCGGTGTTGCTGGTTTCTGGAACAAACATCAACGCGCTGGCGAAAGCGGACACGGTCGCGAGGACCATGGATCAGCTGCCTGAAGAAGCGTGCGAGAAGGACGAAACGTCGCTGACGGAGACGTTTCGCGAGTATTTGGAGAATCGCAGCATGTTGACGACGTCGTCGCCAGCGGATTCGAGTTTCTCGAGTCGGACGGACGATTTTAATTCGGACGAGTTTAACGCGAGTCCGAGTAAAATGACTGAGTCGTTGTTGAGGTGTCTGGACGGGAACGACCCCGAAGATGCGAGTGACAGCGGCGAGAAAGAGCTGATTTTAAAACCAAAGAAGTTTGACGAAAATGGGCAGCCTATAGTGTTTGAAACTTCATTCTGATTTCGCTTGTTGTAAATATATTTATTGATGTTGAAGCCAGTACATTAAGAATAAATACCTATAGACTGAATTTGATGTAGAGAACCAAATAAATTTTTAGAACATGTCGTCGTGGGTTAAGTCTGGCATTAGATGTAGCCCCCTTTCTTTTAAAGCCTTTGCTACTAGTTTTTGTTGTTCTTGTTTGAGTTCTTGTTCTTGTCGTTGCGCGTCGAGGATTTCATCAACTGACACTTCCGTCAGAGGCAGTTCGGCTTCTTTATCTGCATCCTAGACATAGGAATTAATACGTTTACAAAGAATAAAGTCTGACTTACAATTTCTCCTAATAGAACCACGTTTTCACCCCTCACTATAAAAACTCCGCGTGGAATATCCCCGTATTCTTTCCCTACGTGTATTCTTTCGATGGTTCTGTGTAAAACTAAGTTTGCGAATTGGTCGACACTTCGCAAGTAGCCAATGAGAGTTCTGCCATCACGAAGCAACACCATTAGTTTTTCTGGGGTGGAAGATTCATTAAATGATTGGTTTCAATTAGGTACTTACTGTCTAGCTCGTCTAGTAAATGTGCAGTGCCTTCCAATTCCATTACAGTATTGTTCATTGTGGAACAAAACTAAAACAACAACATATTACGAGTTGGAAAATAAGTGAGGTTATATGATATGTCAACAAGAAAATGTCAAATCAAAGTATATAAAGTAGCGAAACATAGAGATATTTGAGCTTGCGTTCATCTTGCAGGATATACACGTCTTTTTATATAAATTTCGCTTGTTTATTTAGCGTGATTAAATAAAAAAATTGAAGACTTTGGTGTCGTTTCTGTGATTAAGATCGTTTTAGGTATTTGGTAAATCATTCCTTTGGTTTCAATAATTTGTAAATATAAGCCAAAAAATTGGTCGAAGGTTAGTTCGGTAGAACTTCCCTCGCCCCTGAAGTGCAGCCCAACAAATCCCCCAAAACCATTGATTATTAATAAATTAATAATACTCCCGCAGTATCGACAGATCGAGCAATCAATAAATTGAAAAATCGAAGTCAAAAATTCTCGAAAAATTGAAAAACTAAAAATCAAAATCCAAAAAGTCTAAAAATCGAATGATAAGCGATCGAAATGTCAGAAAAATTAAAGTTTCCAAAGATTAAAACATCCAGAATTTGAGTATTTCCTAAAATTGACATATTGAGTAACTGAGAACTCGAAAACTTGAAAAATCAAAGAAACGCGAAATGGAAAAATCGAAAAATCTAAAACCAAAAAATTAAAATATTGCATGTCGAATATTGAACAATCCAGAAATCCAAACAATAAAAAATATTGAAAAATTTAAAACTGAAAAATCTCAAAAATCGGGAAGGTGAAAAATCGAGAAGCTGAAAAATTGCAAAACTGAAATGACGAAAAATTGGGAAATCGAAAAATTTAAAAACTGAAATATTAAGGATCCAGAAATCTAAAGATCGAAAATTTGAGAAGTCGAAAAATCGAAAGATTGAGAAATCGAAACATCAAAAAACTGAAAAATCTAAAATTTAAAAATTCGAAAAATTGAAAAATCGAAAAACTGAAAAGTCAAAAAACCGAAAATTGAAAAATCGACGTATCGAAAAATTGAAAATCGAGAGTCGAAACATCAAAAAGTCGAAAATTTGAAAAATCTAAAATTTATAAATCGAAAAATTGAAGAATCAAGTTATTGAAAAATGACAAAACTGAAATATTGGAAAGTTGAAAAATAGAGAAATCGGAAAGTTAAAAAACCAAAATTTAATTAAATTGAAGAATCGGAAAATTGACAAATCGAAAAAATTAAAAATTGAGAAACTGAAAAATTACAAAACTGAAATGAAGAAAAATTGAAAAATAAAAAAGTTGAAACATCGGAATCTAAAATCCAAAATTTAAAAAAAATAGCAAATATTTAGTGAAAAATCGAGAAATTGAAAAATTCCAAAATTGAAACATCAGAAGATCCAGAAAATCGACATCTCGAAAATGTGAAAACTTGAAAATCGAAAAATCAGAAATCGAAAAGTTAAAAATTGAAAAATTTAAAATAAATAAATCGATATCTCGAAAAATTGAAAAATCGAGAAATTGATCAATCAGAACATCGAAACGTCAAAATCTCAATAAATCGAGAAATAAAAAAGTTGAAAAATTGAAAAATCGAAAAATTTAAAAACAAAAATGAAAAACCAGAAAAAAAATTAATATCGGAAAATTGAAAAATCGAAAAATCTGAAACCAAGAAATCGAAAAATCGAAAGATTGAGAAATCGAAACATCAAAAAACTGAAAAATCTAAAATTTAAAAATTCGAGAAATTGAAAAATCGAAAAACTGAAAAGTCAAAAAATCGAAAATTGAAAAATCGACGTATCGAAAAATTGAAAATCGAGAATCGAAATATCAAAAAGTCGAAAAATTGAAAAATCTAAAATTTAAAAATCGAAAAATTGAAGAATCAAGTTATTGAAAAATGACAAAACTGAAATATTGAAAAGTTGAAAAATTGAGAAATCGGAAAGTTGAAAAACCAAAATTTAAAAAATCGCAGAAATTGAAGAATCGGAAAATTGACAAATCGAACAAATTAAAAAAAATAGCAAATATTTAGTGGAAAATCGAGAAATTGAAAAATTCCAAAGTGGAAACATCAGAAGATCCAGAAAATCGACATCTCGAAAATGTGAAAACTTGAAAATTGAAAAATCAGAAATCAACAAGTTAAAAATTGAAAAATTTAAAATAATCGATAATAATTTTTATTACATTTATAATGTTATAAATCGAATAATTGAAAAATCAAGGAATTGAACAATAAAAAAATCAAGACATTGAAAAATCGAAAAATTTAAAAACAGAAAAATGAAAAATAAAAAAAAATTAATTGGAAAATTGAAGTCGAAAAATCGTGAAACATTAAAATAATGAAAAATCTAAAATTTAAAAATTCAAAAAATTGAAAAATCCAATAACTGAAAAATCAAAAAATCAAAAATTTAAGAAACTAAAAAATCGACGTATCGAAGAATTGAAAATCGAGAATCGAAACATGAAAAAGTGGAAAAATTGAAATATCTAAGACTTCAAAATCGAAAAAACTGAAAAATCCAAAATATAAAAATCGAAAAAGTTAAAAATCAGGATATCGAAAAATCAAAAAGTAGAAAGAGCGAAAAAATGAAGAATCGAATTATTGAAAAATGACCAAACTGAAACACTGAAAAATTGAAAAATCAAGAAATCGAAAAGTTGAAAAATCAAAATTTAAAAAATCACAAAAATTGAAAAATCGGAAAATTGACAAATCGAAAAAATGAAAAATCGGGAAACTAAAAAAAATGTCAAAACTGAAATGAAGAAAAATTGAAAAATCGAAAAGTAGAAACATCAAAATCCAAAACCCAAAATTTAAAAAATACCAAAAATGTAAAAATCGCAAAAGTGAAAAATCGAAACTTCGAAAAATTAGAAAATCGAAAAACCGAAAACTCGAAAAACGGAAAACCGAGAGACTGAAAAATCGAAGAGAATTTAAGATTTTTTGATAATCTTTTATTTTCTTTACGGCTTTTCTTCTAGAATTCTTTGGATGCTTTCTGATTGTCTCTTTCGAATTTTTTCAGGTTCCTTCGAACTTTTCAGATTTTTCCAAAGACACCATCAGAAATCCTCAAGATTCTTCAGTTCTGTTTAGATTATTTCAAATCCTTATATATCCTTTCAGATTTTTGCAGACTCTTCCAGATTTTTCTAGATTCTTTTAGATTTTGCTAGATTCTTCAAGATTCTCTTACATTCCCTGGAGAAATCTGAGGGAATCTCGAGGAATCTCGAAAAATCTAGAAGAATCTTTAAGAATCTGAACGATTTTGCATGACTTTGAAGTGATGTTCAAACATTTTTCAGATTTTGCACTTTTTCAACTTTTAACTTTTTGTTTGTCGATTTCTCTATTTTTCGATTTTTCGACTTCATCACTTTTCGATTTCTCGTTCTTTGGATCTTTAAATCTCTCAATTTTTCAATTTTTCGAGGTTTTTGATTTCTCGATTTATCGAGATTTAGATTTTTCGATATTTTGTCAATTTCTCAATTTATAAATTGTTCAATTTTTAACTTTTCGATTTTTCGATTTTGACCTATGTCGTTTTCTCAATTGTTCGACTTTTTTCCACGATTTCTTGATCTTTTGATTTTGCGATTTCTCAGTTTTTCGATGTTTCGATTTTTCAGTTATCCGATTTTTTTAATTTGAGAGTTTCGATTTCTCGATTTTTCGTTATTCGGTTTTTAAATATTAGATTTTTAAATTTTACATTTTTTCGATTTTCAGTTCTTCGATATTTCGGGTTAAATATTGTAATGAATTTGAAGTAGAATCATAATTTGCATTTAAATACAGATAACATAAAACGGCTAACAGAATTTTCTAACTGCAACCGGGAAATGTGCTAATTTACCACATTTCTGGCCAACAAAATGTCTTTTTTTTCTAGTACTTAAAAAAAAAAGTGAAACATTATTGTTATTCTTATCTTGGTAGATGGATATTAGCTGTTTCGAAGAATTCAGAAGAATGTAGAAGAAAATAGAAGAATTTGAAAGAATCTGAAACGACATGAAAGGTGAAAAATTCTGAGACAATCTGAGTATCGAAAAAATGTGAAAGAATCTCAGAGAATTTAAGATTTTTTCAAAATCTTTCGTTTTCTTTACTTTTTTTTCGAATTCTGAAGAATCAAAAAAGAGAATCGAAACATCAAAAAGTCGAAAAATTGAAAAATCTAAAATTTAAAAATTCGAAAAATAGAAAAATTGAAAAACTGAAAAGTCAAAAAATCGAAAATTGAAAAATCGACTTACTGAAAAATTGAAAATCGAGAATCGAAACATCAAAAAGTCGAAAAATTGAAAAATCTAAAATTTTAAAATCGAAAAATTGAAAAACCTAAAATTTAAAAATCGAAAAATTGAAGAATCAAATTATTGAAAAATGACAAAACTGAAATATTGAAAAGTTGAAAAATTGAGAAACCGGAAAGTTGAAAAACCAAAATTTAAAAAATCGCAGAAATTGAAGAATCGGAAAATTGGCATATCGAAAAAATTAAAAATTGAGAAACTGAAAAATTACAAAACTGAAATGAAGAAAAATTTAAAAATAAAAAAGTTGAAACAACAGGATCCAGAAATCTAAAAATCGAAAATTTCAGAAGTTGAAAAAACGAAAATTGAGAAATCGAGAAGTTAAAAATTGAAAAATTGAAAATAAAAAAATCGATATCTCGAAAAATTGAAAAATCGAGAAATTGATCAATCAGAACATCGAAATGTCAAAATCTCAATAAAACGAGAAATATAAAATTGGAAAATTTAAAAATTTAAAAACAAAAATGAAAAATCAGAAAAAAAATTAATATTGGAAAATTGAAAAATCGAAAAATCTGAAACCAAGAAGTCGAAAAATCGAAACATCAAAAAACTGAAAAATCTAAAATTTAAAAATTCGAAAAATTGAAAAATCGAAAAACTGAAAAGTCAAAAAACCGAAAATTGAAAAATCGGCGTATCGAAAAATTAAAAATCGAGAATCGAAACATCAAAAAGTCGAAAAATTGAAAAATCTAAAATTTAAAAATCGAAAAATTGAAGAGTCAAGTTATTGAAAAATGACAAAACTGAAATATTGAAAAGTTGAAAAATTGAGAAATCGGAAAGTTGAAAAACCAAAATTTAAAAAATCGCAGAAATTGAAGAATCGGAAAATTGACAAATCGAAAAAATTAAAAATTGAGAAACTGAAAAATTACAAAACTGAAATGAAGAAAAATTGAAAAATAAAAAAGTTGAAACATCGAAATCTAAAATCCAAAATTTAAAAAAATAGCAAATATTTAATGAAAAATCGAGAAATTGAAAAATTCCAAAGTTGAAACATCAGAAGATCCAGAAAACATCAAAAAGTGGAAGAATTGAAATATCTAAAACTCCAAAATCGAAAAAACTGAAAAATCCAAAATATAAAAATCGAAAAAGTAAAAAATCAGGATATCGAAAAATCAAAAAGTAGAAAGATCGAAAAATTGAAGAATCGAATTACTGAAAAATGACAAAACTGAAACACTGAAAAATTGAAAAATCAAGAAATCGAAAAGTGGAAAAATTTAAAAAATCACAAAAATTGAAAAATCGAATAACTGAAAAATCAAAAAATCAAAAATTTAAAAAACTAAAAAATCGACGTATCGAAGAATTGAAAAGCGAGAATCGAAACATCAAAAAGTGGAAAAATTGAAATATCTAAAATTTCAAAATCGAAAAAACTGAAAAATCCAAAATATAAAAATCGAAAAAGTAAAAAATCAGCATATCGAAAAATCAAAAAGTAGAAAGTTCGAAAAAATGAAGAATCGAATTATTGAAAAAATGAAAAAACTGAAACACTGAAAAATTGAAAAATCAAAAAATCGAAAAGTTGAAAAATCAAAATTTAAAAAATCACAAAAATTGAAAAATCGGAAAATTGACAAATCGAAAAAATGAAGAATCGAGAAACTAAAAAATGTCGAAACTGAAATGAAGAAAAATTGAAAAATCGAGAAATTCAAAAATCGAAACATCAAAAAACCGAAAACTCGAAAAATCGGAAAACCGAGAGACTGAAAAATCGAAAAATCGAAAATTTCATCAACTGAACAATTAAAAAATCGAAACATCGAGCAAGATTTCAAAGCATTCGGTTTTGTAGTTCCTGCTTAAATCAATAAAATAAATTCACGCGTTCGTTAATTTTTTTGAGTCACCCTGTATCTGCACAACCAAAAAATATGAATGGAATGATAAATCACAAGTACAAACTCATCATATTTTGTACATTTTAGATAGGATTTATTCGGCAAACTTTTGAGGTGGCGTCATCAATTTTTTGGGGGGGACAAGTAAATATATTTTGAATAAAAATTTATCGTGCTTATCATAACTGTAAATCATCTGCAAGATTTCAAAGTATTCGGTTTTGCAGATTCTAAATTAAATTGCAAAATATTGTTTCATAATTTTGATTTTTTTTAATCGGGACGTTTCGGGTAAAACTCAATTCGGAATCATAAACTACATGCGTAGGACTATGTTATTTTATACAATTTAAAACCCATTTACTATGTACAATTTTGAAGTGACGTCATTGCATTAGTGGGGGGAGGCTGAGAGCTACTGCTGTTTATTGTATAAAAAAGTTGAAAGAATCTTGGATCCCCTAGTATTTTTTTAGAATACGAAAGAATCTGTAATCCCATAGTATGTTTGAACAATTTATTTGAAAGAATCTTGGAGACCCTAGTATTTTTTTAAAAAAAGATTGAGAGAATCTTAGGGTTCTTTATTGTAATCGTAGTGACTTCCAGTGTTCTGGTTTAGTGAGAATTTGAAAGAACCCTGATAGTTCCAATGTTTTATTAGATAGAATTTGAAATAATATTGGACAACCCGTTTTTCTAGAAGGAACTTGATAGAATCTTGGAGATTCCTAATGTCCTATGTTAAATTGAATTTGAAAGAGTGGGTAAAATTGGTTCAATCGACGAAAATTGGTGTCAAATTGTAGATAATCTTCCGCTAGTTATCAGAATTTATAATTACTGCAAAATCGAGATCTGTCACCTATTAACGTTTCCCGCCTTTTCTTTAGTGACCATCGAATCTCACTAAAACTTTTTGATAACGAACTAAACTTTTTTAAGTTGCAACACTGCCTCCCATGGTCAAAAGTGACAGATGACTGTTGTCGCTTTCATTAAAGTTTTTATAAAGATCTGAAAAAAGTGCTAAAATGGCCCAAATATCAGCCACAGAGCAACCAAACATGAAACAAGTGGACCTAACCACCCTAAACATACAACAATTATCCACCCTAAAACAACAATTGGATCAAGTGAGAACCTAACCTCAAACCCGCACATGATTTTTAATTTTGTTATAACTTCAGGAGTTGTCTTTATTCCAAGAATCCCTCACCTCTCTAAAAATGGCGCAAACGAAATTTCAAAATTCAGGGGAGGCTTTGGAGAAAATTACCACAAATAGCGAAGGCAAGGAAATTTTGGTGCCCCTAACAGGCTCGGTGAGTAGTCGCCCATTTGGAATTTTCCTGACGAGAGTTTTGTAGATGTATGTACCTGGAAAACTGTACGACACGAATAACGTTCTCATTGATATCGGTACGAGGTACTATGCAGAGAAGGTTGGTTAATTTGAAAATATTGATTGTTATTTTTTTTTAACAATAATTGTAGGATATGGACGCCGCCAAAGATTATTTTAAGCGCAAAATTCAATTCGTGACGGAGCAGATGGAGAAAATCCAGTTCCTGGGGTTAGAAAAGAGCAAAATTAGGGACGCTATTGTTGAAATTATTGAAATGAAGTTGCAGCAACAGAGCTAAATGTGTCGAATTTTTAGTTAGGTATCTTGTAGTTCGCTATTTATGAAAAAATTAAACTCCTTTATAACAAATGCTTTATTGTGCACACTATTTTTTTATGTACAATGGGTCCTTTTCACAGTCTACAATATAAAGTTGAAAAAAATGGAAATAACGCAAATTTTGGTTTCTAACTTTATTAACCAAATTTAAGAATGAGGTAAAACAAAACTAGGTTACAAAGATGATCTATTTTTAGTGATAGTAGACATGTATGTATCCACTACCGTAACGAAAAGGGGCTCATTTATTCACAGTTGGCTATTAAAAATGTCTGGTTTTATTTTTCATTGGTGTTAAATAAATGAGCCTTACAGAGATATGTGATTAAAATGGAACAACAATGCACTCACTTTTACGGTTTTTTTAGGTTATAAATTATGCGCCTCGATCAGTGAACTGATTTTCGTTTTAAGGTGTAACGTTTTGAAACAATTAAATATTTGTCGGGTGTTTGGTATTGTTGTTCCACTTATTTTTGTTGTTTGATGGACATAACGACATGCAAACATTTTATGCTAAGTGTATTGATAAATAAAATTTTATTGTCGTAGCGACAATTGTATACATTTTCAAACTGTTTCGCTTATTAAAACATTTTTATTTAGTTGTGTTGTTTATGGCCGCCAAAGCAAAGAAAATATGTCAGGACAGCGTAAGGTAAATAAAAAGATCAAGTGCGTAATGCGCACCCGTACGGTAAGAAAGCTTTTATTCCACTAGTGACGTAAATAAACTGCAGCTGTTCTGACACATATTCGTATGGTTTTCAAGTACTTCGTTGAATTTTAATAACAACGAAACATGAATTATCCTACAATTTTTAAAATTTCCTATTAAATTATTGTTTTAGAATCAAAAATGTGGTAACTCAACGGTAAAAAATAAGTTACAATATATTACGTGATTCTTATTAGGTACATTGTTTTATACAGCCTTGGATTTTAAAATACAAATTTGTTAAAAGATTTTAAATTTTACAATTTTGTAAAATTTGTTCTAAAATTGTATTGCTTTAAAAATGTTTATTGTATCTGACATTTTATGATGATGATTTAAATGATGTGACGAGGAATATTAACACCAACACGTACACCGCTGACATCCCTGAAAAAAAAACACCATTATTACACGTTTTTATATAAAATAATGTTGCTTTAAAAGATTTGTTTAATTTGTGTAAAATCGATATTCCATAAACACCCTAGAGACATAAAAGTTAATTATGCGTATATTATTCAAAATACATATTAACACACCGATCCGTAAAATTAATTTTGGAAAATGGAATATTATATTCGAACCCCGAAAGATATAAACTGGCAGCAAATATATTTTTCGCTTAATTATATATATTTGAGTTCGAAACTTAACCCGAGCCTTTAGAAACTAAACTAATAAAAGAGCGAATTCCTTGTTTATGTGTCGTCAAAGTTTTAATACTGTTTGCTTCAAGTTCGCAAACTTTTTCCCGTTGTTCCGATTATTGCATGCCGGAGTTCGGTTAATTAATTGTGTTTTACAAAACGAGAAACGCAATTTCTCACTACACATAGTTTCAAGATGGTGTGCCGCCTCACTATATTAATTTCAGTTTTACCATTAATTCTACAGCTTCCACTTTTCTTGTCAGTTTTGGCAGTATAACTTTCCACTTCGTCCAGGAATTGGTACGTCGCATTAAACCCTGTCCCGTCCAAGCGATCGTTCGACCTGAAGGTAACCCGGAAAAACTTTCTGTCTGACGCTACATCGAACTCTTTAAGTTGGCCACAATGCCTGGAATACTTCCTATCACGTGTCATGAAGTTGGAGAACTCTACGTAATCGCTCGCCGAGATCGCCTCACACCTGCAGAAAGAGTTAAGTATACACCGGACACAGTTCGAGACGGACTTACGGCAAGACGCCTTCGACGTCGAAGTAGTTGAAATGCAGCCGGACTTTTTCTTTGAGGTTTCCGTGAAAGAAGTAGTGACACTCCGTGTCTCTGGGGTAAAGACCTGGGTAATTGGGGCTGTAGAAAAATCCAGTTCTAGATTCGTTACTATTAAATACAAAGGCACATGGATATTCCGGTAGCTGCGTACCGGTTCTAATACCAAAATCTGCAAAAAACACGTATCTGTTATTCACGCAAACAAGAAGCATGGAGAATGTAATGTAATAGCGTCTTGGGAAATGCAGGAATAATTTTCGTCGGAAAGCAGCAGTGTTGAGTTGTCGGGGAATTCATACATTTTACATAGCGGCGTAACGTGTTTCAGTCTGCGGAGTGACGTTTAATTATGGCGCTTTTAGTACGGAACGATTGTCATTCCTGTGGATGAATACTTACTTTCTATAAAGCTGTACGTCGCTTTGAAGCCTCTCGAGTATCTCGACGCGAAAAGACTTTGAAATTCTAACCTAAGCCTTGGACCGTTGGACATGACAGGTTTGGGCAACGTGTTGCCGCAGAAACTGTCGATTTTTTCCATTCTACCTTCTATGTGGACAAAGGCCATGAGGGAGTCGTGGCCGGTGCATCTGGAACAAAGAAAGCGAAGAAATCATTTAGTATTTAGTACTGTAAAACGTAGAGGTGTTTCTGACTTGACCTTCGGGATCACGGTGGTACGCCGATGATGCTAAACCAGGACATATTTCTTGGTAACATCAGTTGAAATTGCCGCTGTTTGGGTACGGTCAGGTCAGGTCAAGTCAGGTCAGGTTAGGTCTCTTTTTAAAGAATGTAGAAGCGTCTAGTGTTTCATTTTTGAAAAATTTGAAAAGATCTTGAGGGTCCCTTGTATCTTTATTTTATTATTGGGGCTTCCCAGTGTTTTATGTTTGAAAGATTTTGAAAAGATATTGGGAGAATTTGGTGTTTTTTTTAGAGATTGGAAGAATTTTGGGGACTTTAATGTCTATTTTTTGATGAAACGTGAAACAATCTTAGGAACATACAGCATCATTTTTAAAAAAACGTAGAATAGTTTTCGAGATTTCTGGTTTTACTTATGAAAAAATTTGAAAAGATCTCGGGGACATTTAGTGTTTTTTTGGAATGAAGATGAAACAATACAACAAAATTTTTCAGGTTCCTCGTGTTTTATTTTTGAATACATTAAAAAAAAAGTCTTTGGGGCCCTTTTCTTTTATTTGTGAAAAATTTGAACCAATCTTCAGGCTCCTTTTTGTCTCTATTGTAGAAAGATTTTGAAAATATCTTGGAGGCCCCTAGTGTTTTTTTAATTGATTGAAAAAATCGTGGTAACCCCGAGTGTCTTTTTTTAAACAACATCTTGGGGATTCCTGGTGTTCTATATTTGAACAAAATTTTAAAAGTTCTTGGGGGCGTCCAGTGTTCTTTTTTGAGTGAAGGTGAAAGAATCTTGGGGGGTCTGAGTTTTAGTTTTGAAAAAAGTCTTTAGAGTCCTTCTCCTTTGTTTTTGAACGCTTAGTTTGAAAGAGTTTGAAAAGATCCTGAGGGCTGTTGATTTGTTTTTTTCTTAAAAATATTGAAAGATTCTTGGGCCCTGTGGTGTTCATTTTCTGTTGAAAGTTGAAAGAATTTTGCTAATCTCGAGTTTCTTCTTTATTGGGAATGTTCGATGTTTTATTTTTGAAAAAATTTGAAAAGATCTTGAGGCGTTCTAGTAACTTGTTTTAAACAACAGTGAAGAATCTTGGAGATTCCTGGAGTTTTACTTTTCAAAAAATTTAAAAAAAGTCGGCTCATTTTTTGTTTTTGAAAAATTTGAAACAATCTTGAGATACTCTTGTGTCTTTATTGTAAAGAACATAGAAGAATCTTGAGAGTCCTCGGTATTTCATGTTTGAAAAATTTTGAAAACATCTTGGGGGCCCTAGGTGGTTTTTTAAAGAGATCCAAAGAATCTAGGGATTATAGTGTGTACTTTTTGAGGAAAGGTAAAAGAATCTTAGGGATTTCTTTGAAAATATTTGAAAGATCTTAAGGACTTCTAGTGATTTTTTCTTTCATTAAACTGAAAGAATTTTGAGAGGACCGAGTGTCTTTTTTAAACAACATATAGATGCCTAAAGTTTTATTTTTGAAAAACTTGAGAAAAAATCTTTAAGCTCCTTCTCGTATTTTTTTTTTTAATTTTAAACAATCTTGAGGAACCCTTGTATCTTTGCTATAAAGAACGTAGTAGAATTTTGGAAGTCTCCGGTGTTTTATCTTTGAAAGATTTTGAAAAGATTTTGGGAGCACTTGGTATTTTTTTAACAAGTTGAAAGAATTTTGATTCTTGTAGTGTCTTTGTAGTGTTTTTGACAAAAGGTGAAGTAATCTTGGGAAATCCGAAAGTTTTTTTAAACAACGTAAAAAAGTCTTGGGGATTTCTGATGTTCCATTTTTGAAAAAAAAAAAAAAAAAATGAAAAGATCTTGAGAGCTTCTAGAGTCCTTTTTTAATGAAACTGAAGGAGTTTTGAGGCGCCGTGTGTATTTTCTTAAACAACATAGCAGAATCTTGGAGGTTCTTGGAGTTTTGTTTTTCAAAAAAAAAGTCTTTGGGCTCCTTTTTTGTTTTTGAAAAATTTTAAACAAACTTGAGGTACCCTTGTGCCTTTATTGTAAATAACGTAGAAGAAATTTGAGAGTCCTCTGTTTTTATGTATGAAAGATTTTGAAAAGATCTGGGAGGCTTTAGGTGTTTTTTTTAAAGAGATTGAAAGAATCTTGGGGATTGTAGTGTTTATTTTTTAACGAAAGGTGGAAGAGCCTTGAAAACCCAAAGGGATCTTGAAGGTTCTGGTGACTTCTTCTTTGATTAAACTGAAAGAATCTTGAGGGGACCGTGTGTCTTTTTTTAAACAACCTAGAAGAATCTTGGAGGCTCCTGGAGTTTTATTTTTAAAAAGATTTGGAAAGAAGTCTTTGAGCTGCTTCTCTTTTGTTTTTGAAAAATTTGAAACAACTATAAGGATCTCTTATGTTTTTATTTTAAAAATGTAGGTAGAAGAATCTTGGGGGTCCCCGGTGTTCTATATTTCTCCTAGCGCTTTTTTTAAGAGATTGAAAGAATTTAGGGCCTTCCAGTGTCTATTTTTTGATGAAAGTGTCTTTTTTGCACAACGTAGAAGAGTCTTGTGGATTCTTGACGTTTTATTTTTGATCTTCATTGACAAGATCTTGAAGGTTTCTAATGTGTTTTTTTTTTTAATGAAGGTGAAAGAATCTTGAGGAGCTAGATGTTTTTTTTTTAAACAACACTGAAGAATCTTGAAGGTTCCTGGAGTTTTATTTTTGAAAAAAAATGAAAAAGATCTTTGGGGTCCTTATCTTTTGTTAAAAAAAAAAAATGAAACAATCTTGAACCCTCTTTGTGTCTTTATTTTAAAGAACATAGAAGAATCTTGGAGGTTCCAGGTGTTATATGTTTGAAAGCTTTTGAAAAGATCTTGGGCGCTCCTGGTATTTTTTTAAAGATTTTGAAGGCTTCTAGTGTTTCTTTTTTTGAATGAAAGTGACAGAATCTTGGAGGTTCCGGGAGTTTTATTTTTAAGAAGATTTGAAAAAAGTCTGTCTCTAGTGTTTATCTTTGAAAAATTTTAGAAGATCTTGGGAACTCTTCGAGTTTTTTTTAAGAGATTGAAAGTATTTTTTTTGGAACAGTGTTGGGGATTCTTGGTGTTTCATTTTTGAAAAAAAATGACAAGATCTTGAAGACTTCTAGTGTTTCTTTTTTTTTAATGAAAGTGGAAGAATCTTGGAATTTCCTGGAGTTTTACTTTTCAAAAAATAAAAAAAAGTCTTTCGGCTCATTTTTTGTTTTTGAAAAATTTGAAACAATCTTGAGATACTTTTGTGTCTTTATTGTAAAGAACATAGAAGAATTTTGGGAGTCCTCGGTATTTTATGTTTGAAAAATTTTGAAAAGATCTTGGGGGCCCTAGGTGTTTTTTAAAGAGATTGAAAGAATCTAGGGATTATAATGTGTACTTTTTGACGAAAGGTAAAAGAATTTTGGAAACCCCAAGTGTCTTTTTTAAACACCGTAGAAGAATCTTAGGGATTTCTGGTGTTTTATCTTTGAAAATATTTGAAAGATCTCGTATTAAAAAAAAAATTTTAAACATTCTTGAGGAACCCTTGTATCTTTACTATAAAGAACGTAGTAGAATCTTGGAAGTCCCCTGTGTTATGTTTGAAAGATTTTGAAAAGATTTTGGGAGCACTTGGTATTTTTTTAAGAAATTGAAAGAATTTTGATTCTTGTAGTGTCTATTTTTTGACGAAGGGTGCAGTAATCTTGGGAAATCCGAAAGTTTTTTTTAAACAACGTAAACAAGTCTTGGGGATTTCTGATGTTGCATTTTTGAAAGAAAGTGAAAAGATCTTGGAGGTCCTAGGTGTTTTTTTAAAGAGATTAAAAGAATCTTGGGGATTGTAGTGTCTATTTTTTAACGAAAGGTTGAAGAATCTTGGAAACTCCAAGTGTCTTCTTCTAAACAACGTAAAAGAATCTTGAAGATTCCTGGTGTTTTATCTTTGAAAATATTTGAAAAGATCTTGAGGGACTCGAGGGTCCTTTTTAAACAACGTTGAAGAATCTTGTAGATGCTTAAACTTTTGTTTTTGAAAAATTTGAAACAATCTTGAAGGTCCCTTGTGTCTTTATTGTAAAAAACGTAGAAGAATCTTGGTGGTCCCCAGTGATTTATATTTGAAAGATTTTGGGGACCCTTGGTGTTTTTTAAAAGATTGAAAAAAATTTGGCCCTTGTAGTGTATATTTTTTGACGAAGAGTGAAGGAGTCTTGGGAAAGCCGAATGTTTTTTTTTTAAACAATGTAGAAGATTTTAGGTGTTTTATTTTTGAAGTCTTTGGGCTCCTTTCTTGTTTTTGAATAATTTGAAACAATTTTGAAGTACCCTTGTGTCTGTATTGTAAAGAACGTAGAAGAATTTTGATTGTCATCGGTATTTTATGTTTGAAAAATTTTGAAAAGATCTTGGGAGCCCTAGATGTTTTTTTAAAGATATTGAAAGAATCTAGGGATTATAGTGTTTGCTTTTTGACGAAAGGTGAAAGAATCTTGGAAACCCCAAGTGTCTTTTTTTAAACACCGTAGAAGAATCTTAGGGATGTCTTTGAAAATATTTGAAAGATCTTAAGGACTTCTAGCGACTTTTTCCGTAATTAAACTGAAGGAATTTTGAGAGGACCGAGTGTCTTTTTTAAACAACATATAGATGCCTAAAATTTTATTTTTGAAAAACTTGAGAAACAATCTTTAGGCTCCTTCTCGTATTTTTTTAAAAATTTTAAACAGTCTTGAGGAAACCTTGTATCTTTATTATAAAGAACGTAGTAGCATCTTGGAAGTCCCCGGTGTTTTATGTTTGAAAGATTTTAAAAAGATTTTAGGAGCACTTGGTATTTTTTTAACAAATTGAAAGAATTTTGACTCTTGTAGTGTCTAGTTTTTGACGAAGGATGAAGTAATCTTTCAAAATCCCAAAGTTTTTTTAAACAACGTAAAAAGTCTTGGGGATTTCTGGTGTTCCATTTTT